CGCCAGCGGCAGCGGTGACGCCACGCAGCGACTGCCCACGCCCGGACAGCCCTGCTCTGTCCTGCCGGGAGGGTCCAGTGCCTAAGCTGCTCCCAGACACACATCGCCTGCTCCCCACAGCCCCTCTGCCCTCACCCTGTACACTGCTCCCGAGCTGCAGGCGGCTGCTTCAGGCTCCAGGAGACCTTCAAAGTTGCTGGATCTGCCTAGGGAAGAGAGAAAAGCTGCCCACAACCTGCCCCCCAAAGGTTATGAACCATGTCTGACTCTGGGCTTCACTGTAACAGAGGAGCCGACTGATCCCAGCTTTGCTAGGATGGGAGGGCAAGGGCAGCTCCAAAAGCAGAGCCTGAATCACCTCCTCATGAAGAAAAGGCAAAAGTTCAGAGGGTTTTATTAGTCCTGCCTCAGCAGCTCCAGCTTCACCCTGAGCACTTTATCAAGCCTTATATCTGGGCCTGTGCTAGGAAAACAGCATTAGAACCAGAAGAGTGTTCTGCACACACCAAGAGGAACAGAAAACAAGACATCTCAGGATAGAGATGGGTTACTGCTGGAGCTACCTGAGCATCAGGATCAATCATCAACATTTTAGCAGGAGCACCAGAAATCCAAGCTAGGCAATAAGTCTCCCACTAGTAAAGAAGAGGAATGGGGTAGGCTACAAGAATAAAAGGTGCTGTCACCTGCTAGCATTCCAGAAACTGGCACAGGATTAAGACAAAGCTGCATGCTTGAGAAGTAGAACAGCCTCTACTCCATACCTAAAAGCAGAGAAATGGACTGATCCAAAATATACTGGCAACCATAGGCTAGCCAGTGAAACCAAGGTACATCAGGCTCTGCCAGGAAATAGAGAAGCAGCTGTCCCACTGAGCAGATCTCAGTGAGATTTCACCTGAGGCCTCCAGATCATGCTGCCTGCTTACACCCAGGAGACCAGTTCTGGTGCCAGACATACTCACCATGAGCCTGGTTTTGCTGTGACTCCACAAGCACCTACAGACAGGAGCCCATCCACAGCAGAAAAATCACCTCATGCCTTCAACTCCCAGCCCAAGTTGCTCTGGAGAAATGAGGTTGGCAAGGCTGCCTGCAGAATTTGTTTCCCACAGGGGCAGTAAGCAGTCACCCACACAAAGGGGATGAGGTGCAAGGGATGTGCACACCATGGTGGCCTGGGGTCCTCCCTCTCCAGGGGACATAATACCACAAACCTGGGTTGGGCTGTTGCACCACATCACCAGTGCACCATCATGGGGCAGTCAGTCCATCCTGCTGTGAAGTGCAGGAATGCTCCTGAGGGAGCTGTACACACCCTCCAAACAGCCAAGCACTGCTGCGTGGTGTGGGTCTCCCAGCACGGTTACATGACCTGACTGAGGGCCAGCACTAGGAAAGGACTTGTTTAAGGAAAATGAGCAGTAGAATTATTTACCAGAAAGTGTATGAAAAATGTTAAGGTTACACTTCTAGTTACATCTTGGCAGAGTTCAGCTAATATGAAAAACAGGACTTACGAGAAATAAAAGAAATAACAGAAGGACTAGAGGACACTTCCAAGTAATGCTCTGCAGCAGCACTTCAGGACAGGAGAGTCAGGTTACCTGGAATCTCTGAACTTAACACTCCTCCAGTTTTCAGATACCTGTTTAATGTGAAGGAAAGCCTGACTTTGTATAAACTACACTGGCTGTGGATTTGGGAGGCAGAACTATTTCCCTGGCAGTAGGAACATTCGCATGTGGATGCACTCCAGCCCCTGCAGAGCCACTAGCAGGAGGCCAACCTCGTCTCCTGATCGGGAAACCATCGAGATACAAGCACACGTGGTCCTCGCGTCGAGATGTTGAAGCAGGACTAACAGGGGCTGCAGGAAAGCAGCACTGCTTACAGCAACTGCTCCTCTCCAGCACAGGTGGCGTGCCGGAGGTGTTCCCAAGCCACGCTGCTGCCCACTCCCAGCTGAGAATCACCGGGCTGCACCAGGACACCTTCCCGCAGGCAGCAAACAGCGGGGACACAGAACAAGCCCATCAAGACACCCGAGCCTGGGGAGGGGTGGGAGCTTCTCCAGCAGAGAGCGGGAGCGAAGCGCTCTGCTGGGAGCCGGCACACGGGCCGTTCGGTGGCTGAAGGAGTTCCTTCCCACTGGACTGCTGTTCCCAGAGTCCCGCGGGCAGAGCGCACAGGCCATCCCGGCAGAGCCCCCGCTCGCTCCCGGCCCGCCCCTCGGCCCCCGCGCACCTGGTGGCGGAAGGTGGCGCCGCGCAGAAGGTCCCGCAGCAGCCCGAGGCCGATGTCGCGGCTGGCGCCCTCGGTGACGAGGTGGAGGTGCAGCACATCGGCGGCGCCCAGGCGGCCGTGCCGCAGCAGCGAGCGCAGCGCCGCCTGCGCCTTGTCGCGGAGCGCGGGGTTGCGCTCCGCCTTGGTGAACATGAACAGGAGGTGCAGCCCGCGGGGCCCCGCGCCGGCCGGGGCGGGCGGCGTGGCGCGCAGGCGGCGAGTGGCGCTGGAGAAGGTCTCGCCGCCGCCGCCGAGGTAGTAGAAGGCGCAGACGGCCAAGGCCGCGGCCGCCGCCAGGAGAGCGGGCTGGGGGCAGCGCGGCCAGCCCCGGCGCACCGAGCCCCAGAGCGCCGCCATGGCGGGGCGGCCGCCCCCGCCGTCACCGCCCCCGCCCCCTGCGGCCCCGCCCGCCCCGCAGCACGGCGGGAGCGGCCGGGCCGGCCCGGCGCCGGGACACAGCACACACGGCAGGCAAGGCTTACATACTACAGCCGTGCTTAACGCGAGGGAGGGCGGCGTATACAGTCTGTACAGTTACAGCTTAAGGGGGGGAAGGGTTTGTGTACATTTTACTGCTGGAATGCTTAAAAAACACCGAGTACAGAGGAACGCGCGGAGGAAAAAAAAAAAAATATCATTATTTCGGTCTGCTTGAGGAGACGATGATTTCTTGGCGATTTCTGTCAAAACATGGAAAACTTAGGCTTCTAACAGAAAAGTCAGTGGAATTTTTCCTCCTCTATCTCCTTCCATGGGAAGAGAAACAAGAAAATACTGTATACAGAAATATAAAGCAAGCATATGAAAGGGTATATACCAAAGTGGTACACTCATCCTTTTCCCCAGTAGTGCCTTTCCAGAGTTGTCCCTGTTTTAAAATTGTGCCTTTGTGTAAGCACAGGAGCAAGGCATGTTGGCTGTCAGACTGCACAAGCCATAAACTCTAACTTGGGAAAAAGCGTCCATAATGAATGGGGCAGAGATTGTAGCCTTAAAAATTGATCCTCAAAATACTTTGTGTATTGAAGAATCAGAATAATCACCTCAGTCCTTGTGACACTGTAAAAATATCATGTCCTTTGTACTTACATATTACTATTTGCAGTTTCATCAAAGGGTTGTTTCATTGTCAGGGTGTTATTTGAGATTCTCAAGATGAAGCAGCAGAAGTAACATTCACAATTTAAAGGAGATGGCTGCACAGAAGCACCAAAGTCCTGGAAACATGACATCAACCCTCCACTTGTTCTAGTTCTCACCTTTTTAGTTTAGTGCTACAAAGTTTATGCTCCATCCCGCAGACCTAGTAATTTGGACAACACGTGTACTGATGTCATAATGCAAAACAGGAGAAACTTCCTCTTGTACAGGGATTTGCTGACAGCAGTTGGAAGGTCTGGTTGCATTTTCTAAAACTATTTCAGCTCAGTATACAAACAGGTAAACTATAAAACCCCACAGAGTGAAAAATGGAGTATTAATATAGGATCCTTTAGCACTCTAACATTAAAAGCCATGAATGGAACAATCCAAAATGTCCAAAATCAGTGGAAAGACTGCTACTGATAGCGACTTCCTGGATCAGGTCCTAATGGGCAGAGAGGCTGAAGTCCACAATGTACTAATGAGCACCTGGAACACGCATCCATCCAATTGCACCAATTTGCTGGTAAATATTGCTGATTAGGAAGTGTATTATCATTTCATAGGCAGCTATTTAAAAACCAGCTTACTAAAAATTACTGTTTACAGGTGATATCCTTAAGTTTCTTATTATTTAGACTAAACACACACTTTGAATGGGTAGAATCTGTTTTTCCTACCATAATTAGACCACATACGAAGTAAGAACTGTCTTGTAAGATTCTTCTGCTTGGAAATAAAATCCACTGGACAATTCTACAACACTACTAATTTTGTAGCAATAATAATATGCAGATTTGATACATTATTACATATTTGATGCAAAATTATAAATTGAATTTTAAATTGAAATACCTTCTTAAAACTTCAAATGCCAGAAAGTTTAACTTTACCTTAGTTTACAGATTTCAATTTGTTTTATCCCAGTTTTGCTCATCTTTCCATGAAGAAAAGCCATTTCATTTCCTAATACACTTAAACAGCAGGTTAATACAATGCCACAGCTATTAGGATTACTGAAAACTTACACTGATACTATGTCACCTAAAAACTCTGCTTAAGTTGTCTCCATGGGGCAGGCAAATAGAAGATAAAGAATTGCACCTGCTGGGTTGGGGTTTAGGAGTATTATTATCTAGGTATAAATAACCTCATACATAAGCATATATCTAGACACAGCATTTATACATGCACATGGGCAGAATGAGGCTTACTACTGAATAAAGCAAATTGTCTTGCTGCCCTCACAACAGTTGGAGACTGTGCTCATTCATTACTTGACAAAAATGTGCACTGAAATTCTAGTTTTTCTTGTGCTCAGTTTAGACAACACATAAACATACACATCGCTGAGATTATACAAGGGCTACTGCTTCCTGATAGAAAGGACTGATTGCCCTAAATTAAGAGTGGCTGCAAAACATGAGTGAGCTTAGGGCTAGTAATGAGAACAGCAAAAAGTAGAAATAGCCTTTGTACAACTATTCTACACAAATTTTGTTAGCTCAATATTTACTTTCATGTCTTAAATTTCAAGTTTACATGTCATAATACTGCAAACAAACCCCACATCATGTCCAAAAGGATGACATTTATTTTTCATGAAAGGTCCCACATGCTCTGAAGAATACTTGCTGCAGTGAAAGTTTAATTTAAGAGAAAAAGAAAAGAAAAACAAAGGAAAATGAACTGCTCTTAGGAATTTGGTCCCCAGGATATATCCCTTTGTGACTGACCTGCAGTCACCATCATAAAGGCCAGCCTGGTGCTGGGGCTTCCACCGTGAAAGAGCTTGCAAAAAGCTGGAGTTATCACATCTGTTATGAACAGCCTACCTCTAACCAGAGTCAATGTAGGAACAAGAGAATCTGTTGAGTTGCAGTTCCACAAATAGAAGGACTACTCAGTAAGTCCTTACCCAATTTCCCTTCCAACCAGTCCCAGAAAATGCAACCTAGACCTTGTCAGAGGCACATTCTTTATGGCAACAGGGGGACAGATGACAGTGGGTGACACTGGGTAGCAAAGCTGCTGTGACCATGCTGCAGTGGGAGCCCGCAGCACTCCAGCCATGCTCTGCCAGCCCAGTGCGAGCTGCAAACGCTGCGTGTGTAACAGGGGCTGCTTTACACGGAGCTAGCAGGTACTCAGGGGCTTTAAACATCTTCAGCTGCTGAGGTATATGTACTGTAGAACATAAACCAACTCATACATTTCCCCAGCTACCACAATCTAAAGCTACATCGGAGTGGTCATTTTATCCAAACTATCTAACAAAATGCATACAATTCATTCTGTTAAAGTAAAAAAAGACTTGCACTATAAGCTTCAGGTTCTTTTCCTTCTTGACACTTAAGACTTCTGAGAATCTGACTGCTGGAAGCGGTTTAACTTCTCTGGATAATTTGATGCCATTTGAGAAAAGTCACGAAAAATGTCCTGATAAATTTCATCTCCTAGGTAAAAAAAAAAAAGGGAAACAGTTGTAAACATTTGTAATAGTCAACATCACCCACCATTACACAAATGCCCTACTGTGCTATCAATTACTGTGTAACATTTATTCATGTATGAAGACTGCTTCTAGATGGAGTGATGCTGATGTGAACTCAGAGGGACTGCTTACTTGCATGCATGTTCTGTAGAAGCAAATTAAACAAAGCCAAACTATACCTGAAATAGTACCTCACAGGCAGCCACACAGAGGAAAGTTCAGAGTTAGAAAGGAAAAGTTAAAGCAATTTAAAGCAACTTAAAAAAGAAAAATATTTATTAGCTGTTAGGAATAAAAGAGTAAAATCCTTGTTTTTAAAGGAACTGCTAACCAAGACTCTCTACAGAAAAATAGAATTATGGCATAAATAAAGGTTTACTTAGAAACAGAGATCAGAATTCTTACAGCCAAACAGAACTGTCCATGAAAGAAACAATCAGCAAGCAATAATATATATATATATTAAAAAAAGCAATCTTAAGTAGATAAATTATTGTCCATAAATTATTTTGGTTACTTATTTGGTACTTCAGCAAAAATAAAATTTCTACATTCATTTAATCTACAACTTTCATTACATTTTTCATTTTGATTTAGAAGAACAATGATACTTCCCCTAAAAAGCTTGCTTTTTTTTTTTTCCTAAACCTTCACCCTTTGTGCTTAAACACAACCCTATTCCTAGAACATGTTCCAAAATGTGTTCCTCCCCCTCCCTGTCTACACAGGAAAACACATTGAGGACTGATTGCTTGACTTGAGTCATTGCCAAGTCATTCTTTTACCGCTTTAAAATGGACACTTTTCATTCATTTTCACATTCTTTAATCTCTTGTAGCATTTTGGGCCTTGAGTTCAAGTTCTGTTTTAAAACAGTAACCATCATCTTTCGTCTTCAAAAGGAATTAAATGCATCAAACATTGGTTGGGTCAGGAGCTATGCAGCCATCCAAGTTTGAGAGTCTTCCCAACACAGATGGCCACACAGGACACAAGATCCCAGCACTACTGTTTCTTGCTGACAGCTTGATTTAATAGCATGACAAAGAAATCAACCCAAAATCTCCCTCACTGTGTACACTGAATATGAAGTTGGTTTTTTTTTTCTAACATGATTGTGGAAGAAAAGAATGTTTTTGTGCTTAAAAGTTTGCACTACTGGGAAAAGTTACATTGTTTTATTTTTTGATTTTTTTTATACACATTTCCAATGTTAAAACTGTTATTCTTTTGGAGATGAGACTCCATTCTTCTAAAAACACTTTCACAAATAATAACTGACCTTCCAGAAATATTTAACATGGCAGTAACACAATTCTTTCCAGACTTTAAAAGATGAATACATTCAATACTGCTCTACTAGGAAAAGTCAGTTCTAGAGAAATTCCTTTTTGGTTTTCAGATTTAATTTCAAGTACGGTGTCCTGCCCATGGCAGGTGGGTTGGAACTAGATGATCTTTAATGTCCCTTCCAACCCAAACCATTCAGTGATTCAGTGTTCCAGAGATGAAGCAGGCACAGGACAGGTTTTACTGTAACAGCTTGCTGTTAGTGAGAGCTGCTTGCTCTGGGAGACCAGCACAGAATGGAGCTGTAACATTCACCAAAAGAAAAGCTATGAAGGGCAAAGAATTAGGCTTCTGTGATAAAAGCAATTTTGCTTCTAGTACAGAAGTGGGTTCCACTGGTGAATGAGAACTGCAGTTCAAGTTTCCACACTTGGTTCTTTCAAATTAACTTGAAAGAAAAAAAAGCTATTTTTGCAAGATACATTGTGGCTCTGGCTTTGTCTCTATTACATAACAAAATTATTACATACAAAAATAGACTAAAATAAAGTGCCCCTTTAGTTTGTATGTCACATTAAAATTCTAAATACTGTAAACCTTATCATTATTTTAAAGTTATACTTTAAAGTTGAATTCTGAAGTTCCCTATCCAAGCAATGTTTTCCCTAAAGTGCAGATTCTATGTACAAAAATACTGTAACACTGCTTTACAATTTAACACCAGAATAACTCAAAAGGCACACATCATACATTCAAGAAAAGGTAGGAAGAAAAAGTAGCAATGCTAATATCAAAGAGTTAGCAAGATGTACTGTAGCACCAGGAGATGAGCAGTCAAGTATTATACAGAAACAGTACTACGGTGCATATGGCTTCTACCATCAGAAACAACCTTTTAAAGCTGGTTTCAGCTAGTTCCCATTCCAGGGATGTTCTGGAAGACCAACTGTACCTTGCAAAGCAATATTCATTCTCTCAGTAGCTCAAACTAGCCATATATATTAAAATTATCAATTTTTATTCCATTAAGCTACATGAGCAATTGTTTATCAGCTGCATTGCTAGAGCTGAGAAGTAGGCAGTTGGTTTCACTCTGATGGCAGCAAACTCATACGATGATATTTACCCTCACTTAGCTACCAGCAAATATACAATTGTCCTGAAAATCTTATTTCCTTCTAGAATCATAATTTTGGAAAACTGGAGTTCTAAAGCAAGGGCAGTGCAGATAATTTAACACGTATATGCAGTGGAAAAGACCTGCATCCCTTAAAACCACAGGAAGGTGTGACACCTCATAGCAGCAGACAGGTTTTGTGCTTACACTGACACAACCCTTCTATAGCAGACACAAATTCAAAAATTTCAAAATCTATAGCAGACACAATTCAAAAAGCTCAAATATTGACTTCAACTTTTAAAAGAGACTTTAACAAGTAACAGTGAAGGGGGCAGAGCTGTGCCCTGTATGTATTGTATCCAAAGGTACAGTAAGTTCTGGCTGGGACTCTGAGCTACAGCTTGTGGCATTAATTTCAGAAGTTATTCTAATGAGAGCCTCCCCATGATTTTGGGCTAACTCTGCCTGTTGTGGCAAAACTACTCTTCACTGTCAATCTCACCTTACCAGCTGTATAAAGTATCTCAATCAGACTGCATCAGCTGCAGTCTCTAGAGTCTGATGTTCCAGTCTGGTGACATCCCCCCTGCCCAATCCTCATGAATCAGTGGAAAACACATAAGGGCTTTATAGGAGTGAACTGAGAGTACTCAGCACAACCTGAAAAATAAGGTTCACCTTTCACTTCTGCCCCAAACAACAGGGTGTTTTTAGCTGTCCAACTTCACAATTAAGTGTGCCTTCATTATGGGTATTTGCATGACTTTGATTAAATTACCTTCCTATGGAAGCAAGTATCACATCAGAACATGGTGTAAATTAGGCCTGAGAATAAAGCTGCACATGTGCATAAAATATAATTTGTTACTTTCTTGCTCAAGTATCTGCCAGCTTCTATTTGTTTTTTAACCTAACAGAAAGAAACTGCGTACAAAAATACATACTTAAGAATGACTGTTTTGTTTCTTATTAGTATCTTAACAAATAAAAATATTTAAAAATAAAATTTAAGGAAATAATACTTTCCTGTTTCTGTCTGGAGTCAGTTTGAAATATTTGAAGTACAATTTTTACATTGGTGTGTAAGAGCTTTTTTCTTAAAAAAAGAAAAAGCAGACCATTCCACAGGAAGGAGAGAATGGTGTCTTGGAATAAGATGAACTCTTCAACTGTCTCTGAGCAGGCTGAGTCAGAAAGCTGCTACTAAATAATGTCAGGTAAATCCTAACGTTACACAAATGTCAATGGAACAGCAATAGGAGAAAACTCTGGACAACTACCAGCAAAACAGGGTGGTGATGGCTGTAGTAACGCACTGCTATAATGATGCTCTTTGAACAGTCTCCTTTTAGGTTCCCTAAGTACTCTGACAAAGTCACACCACTTAATTTCAATTAAACTTTAGAATGTGTTGATTTATAAAAAACATTTTTGTATGAAGCAATCTTAAATTTCCCTCAGACACTAAGAATCTAATTGTAAACTGATAAATTCCTGTATACACTTCTTATACTGCATTTCAGTGTGGTTATTAGTAGAGTATTGACCTGGCTGCCCATAGAGTCCTTCTGATTCACGCATTTCTTCATTCATCCTTGCTAAACGCAACCTGCCATTCAGAAAACAAAAGGAACAATGTCATCTTTAAAGCACAAAAAAATTATAATGCAAGACCTACAACACTCTCCTGAATCCCACATCAAAGAGGTCATGTATGGATAGAGTATTTTGGTTTCTCTTTTGTTCCCCCCTGTTTTTATGTAAAGGAATTTTGACATTTCTTGTACTTTTAACTTGAAACTGACTAGCAAAATCTAAGTTATCTAGTCAGAAAACAGAATGTACAACTTACAGTGTTACAATATCTGCATTTGCAGCTTCCACTGCTATACTCAATGGATCTTTCCCCTCTTCATCAGTAGCATGCTGATTTGCTCCTCGTTTTAGGAATAAGCACACTTGTCTGTTTATTAAAAAAAAAATTAAGAATATTTTTGAATATATTTCCTTTGAATAAAGGAAAAAAGCTAATAAAGTCAAGATACAATGCATTTACTTTAAATCACCAAATGTCTCATTTATATCAAAATGAGAGTTTTATATTTATATCAAAATAGTGCAGGTCATCTAGGACATGCTAACAGTAATAAGCAAGCCATTTATTTAATCCACATTAGAGAACATGTGTGTTTTGCTAGTGGATGAGACTGATAAATCAAGATATTATTTCCTCTCACAGCCAGAGCTTAAGAAAAACTTGTATCACCTGAAATAGTATTAAAGTATCAGAATATCTGGGACAATGAAGAAGCTTCACATGAACAACTACAGTAAAGGATGGCCATGTACAAATTGTGGGGTAGTGAGTTACCCAGTGTGTCCTAGAACTGTGGCATGGTGCAGGGGCCCCCTTCCTTTCATGTCTCGGATGTTCACATTGGCCCCATTCTGCAGCAAAAATTCACAAGTAACCAATGAACCCTATGGAATCAAAACAAAGAAACAACTCAGAACCAGATTTCTAGAATCAAACCAAACCTCTTCTGCCTTCTCACCACTGAGCCACCCAGCAAAGGAAACAAAACAGAGTTGCTTCCGTATCAACTTTAAACACTACTAGGACAAAGAATTCCAAACAAAGTAGGAAAAAATATTTCAGAAACAACTCTGAAAGAACACTGTAAACATAGTTTCAGCATCACATTATCATTCATTAGGGAAGCAAGCAGCTCAAAAGGAACAGTGACACAGAAATATCATTATTTCCCTTGCTCTCCTCCCCCATCACCAGTGCTGTATATCACATACCCCTCGCACTGCCTGAATGAGTGGTGTTGCTTTGTTCTCCTCCACGTTGACCCAGTTTACTTCAGCTCCATGAGCCAATGCTTCTGCCATGTGAGGAAGATTTTTCTCAAAGGCAGCTTGATACAACTGCAATCCTGGATTAGGCTGCTTGGAGTCACAGAACACTGGAGATTCTTGCTTGTCTCCTTCTAAAAAGAAAAAAAGTTGCTTACCTAATTCCTGTTTTCACAAGGTACCTCTTGGAATTTTGATCAAAACATTTCTCTGGCAATAGGTAGCTCAGCTTTTGCAGGATGCTATGTAATGTTGCCCCATTATGCCTGGGGAATTCACAGCCTTTAGCTCCAGCATTTAGGCACAGTCTCTTCACAGAACTATTACTGCACAGAAAACATTCTCTCTACATTACTGGCACATGTGTATATACTTCAATGTACATATTCCATTTAATTTCTAAGGAATTGTTTAGGGTTTGGAGTGTGTTTTACTGTAAATGGCAAGATAAGAATAAAACTCATGTTCTGCAGGGATGTAGTCATACAAATATATCTTTATCTGCAATATACTCATACCTGAGGTATGAGACTAATACTGTTGTGATCTAATTTTTGTTAATAGATACTATTGTCATTTACCAATTACTTGCTGTGGCTATAATCTTTTCAACTAAAGCATAATCTTTCTCTTCATCTCAAAAATGGTTATAGAGTGAAGGGAGATAAAGATGTAGTTACATAAAAGCTTTTGTGAGTTACAGCATCATAAATATTTCTACAACATAATCAAAAAGATCCAAGGCACATGCTGCCTGCCTGCTATAACACCTGTGAACCACTGGATTTAAAACATACCTTAAAAGAGTGCTTTGATGTAGAAGAATAAATCTGCTTTTATATAAATAAGTGTTTTGGAAATTTTGAGGAGCCATACTTAATCTGTCAGAACAGCATGCTAAAATGAGTAAATAATTTCATTCATCTACTTACAGAACTTCTGAGTTGAGGGAATGATGTTTAAAGACTTGGTCAATTCCACATAAATAAGAAATAGAAAAATAGAGCAAGAATGCACAAATAACACATAAAAGCCCATTATCTCTGACTCAATAAAAAAAAAATCTATCTCTGCGGATTTATTTATTTATATAAGTATCATGCATTTCTCTGGAGTCTTTTCTTTCTCAAAATGCAGCATTTCTCTATCTGCAAAAAAGTCAATGTTTTGGGATTGGTCTCATCTGGAAAAAAGACTGGAAAAAAACACAGTTCTTTGAACCCATTTAGAAGGATTACATGCCATTTTTTGTGCAAGCCCAAAGGAAAGATCATTAAGGCAAATTTTACCCCTGCTAAAAGCATTTCAACCAGGATAGCAGACATGAATTGTATCACTAAGAATTAATCTTTTTTACAAAAAAACCATGCTGCCAAGTGATTAAATTTTCATCTTGAAGTGCAAAGCCTAACACACCTGGTTCATACAAACTGTTGGCTGATATAGTAGAGGCAAGGTGTTCTCTGCTGTCATCAGTGCTCGGCTGGATCCCACTGTCACTGCTTCGGACTGTTTTGGGGAGAGACTGCAATTACTATGCAGAGCTGAAGCTACTTGCTCCTCACAGATACCATGATAATAAAGCAAGCTCTTATACTTGGTCCTGAACACAATTTTTAAAAAATGGCTTGTTCTTGTTCAGCATTCTTAATGCATCCATAGAAAAATATGAAGTCACATTTTGTCACCAGAACATTTACAAATAATAATAAATGTCAAAGATAATTAGAAATAAAAAAAAAAAAATCAGGATAAGTAAAAAAGCTTAAATTATTTCATGAAAATACTAAGCAATGCAGCAGCCTGGAGACAATAGATTGAAGCAGGGAGATGGCCACAACACACAATGGATCACTAGTGCAAATACTGAATACGCCACAGCTGTAGTACTTACTACTACGGAGTTTTGAAGAGGTATCAAAGTAGGAGAAGAGTGAATCAAGTTCATCAGGACAGAACAGAGACTCCCGCCTCGCCTCGTCGCTACTTACAGCAACCGCTGGGACATGCAGGTTAGCAAAGCACAAAGCAGGCAGTAAGGAAGGGATAGGGCAGGAAAGAACGTTATTGGAAAAATCAAGAAGGATGAAAATACCGAGGAAAGAAGGTGGTTAATATGATTCTGAATTATAAGCATCCCCATTCCAAATCCTTCCTCCTATAAAAATGCACATCTCTGAAGAAGTCTTTTCTCCCCTACACTTACACTAGGCTACAATCCTTTAAAAACCAGATTCCAAATTCTCTGCACGAGGCAGAAGTCAATTAATATAAAAGCATGTTACCTTAAAAAGAAAATGGGTAATACAGCTAAAGAAAGAAGTGTGTAAATACCTCTTTGGGATGCTGCACCTTGCTCCCCTGCCAAAAGGGATTTTTCAGGGCCACTGTGCCTTTTCTCTTCCTGTCTTGGAGGCAAAACTTTTGTTCCAGGCTCAGGCAGAGGTACTGATGCAGCTTGCTTCTCTACAAACTTTCTTTCCACATATTTTGCTCTGATGTATGCCTCCTTCTCCTGCCTGTCATATACAAAATCCCTGGAGTTAGTAAGCTTATATTTTAGTATTTTCATGTATTAAACAAATGTCTGTTTTGTACTAAAGTCAGTAACCAAAATTGTAGATTGGCATTGCACATAAGACACACCTATAGCACATTTTCAGAAAGATGCAAAGCACACTGTCACTTTCTGTATTCTTGATTAAAATTTGCATAAGGCTCAAAATAATTTTGTTAAGTTCACAAACATGTATTTACTTTCAGACTTTGGAAAGGTATGTGGAAGAAATAAGCATTAGTTACTCTATGTTACCTGTATTAAACCTTTATATGTGTTTACTTTGTTAAGAATCTATTAATAAACATATACTTAGTTTCTTATGTAAATATAAATTGCAACATCTGTTATGGGAACATTAAGATTACACAAGAAAACAGTAACAAGCCTTAGGCAGGCACAGCCATCAACTCCATATCACGTACTGAAGTATTTTTCCTTGTAACCTGAAGTTATTACCTTAAGACCCAATAGCAGCTGTGCCAAACTGATAAAAGGGGCTGTAATTATTACATTCAAACTGCTGAAAAGCAGTTACCACTAGAAGGAATATCTAGAAAATCTCCTACTTTGTTCATACTATCATCACTGTCTCCAAATTGCCAACACTTCATAAAATGCAGTTTTCTATATGATAAAACTGCTGGGCAGCAAGCAGCACAGAAATGGAAAGGTAGTAAAAAAGCAAATTTAAGAGACTTCCTATACAGCAGCACAAAACATGGGGAATCTACCTTCAAACACAGATTAGCATCAGAGAAATAGAAGACAGAAGCACAATGATTTGAAGGCTGCTGTAAAGCAGCAGAGCTCATGTACAATGTAGGTAGGAAGATGAGAACATTCTGAGGATCAGGGAACAAAAGTCAAATGGAAGAACAAAGTCACTGTAAACAAAAGGAACAGCCACAGGCTCCTTACAGGAGCACTTACACACGGAGTACAGCTGGCTGAGCTGGTACCCAGCAGAGAGGAACCAAAATCCACATGTCTACAGTGAAGCTCTAGAGATGTTATCAAAAAGAGGGAGTGAGATCACAAAACGAACAAACGAACAGGAGAAGCAGAAAGGGACCAATAGAAGGAATACCCAATAAAGAGAGTGAGAAAAGGGAGAGAGCAATATATACTGGTGATACAGGGAAATGAATACACTAAAGGAGTGTAACACAGTTAAGTGGCAGCATCTTTTACAGGTGGAGGCTGAAGGAAGCAACAATAAAAGGAAGCAACAGGCACTGCTGGTAAAATACTACCTTTGACTTCCAGATTGTGGCTTCTTTATTCCCACTTTTTCCAACTTCGCTTCATATATTCTATTTATAACATCATTTCCCAATTCACACATAAGCTATAAAGCAAAATAAATAAATTCAAATATAGTTGAAAAAAGCTTTAGCTACCTATTCAGTTGTTTTTAACCTCACTCAACCTATTCTTACAACTTAGTGTTTTCACTGGTAGAAGTACACTTACAGTAATAAGCATGGGTTTATATGATAATAATGAAACAATCAGTGAAGGGAGAGACCAAATTCTGAGTAATATAACAAAAAAAGAGTCACTTTTAAAGTGCCTGAAAAAACAACCCCCAGATTGCAGTGCAGGTGCAGAATGGCACCTCATTAACAAAAGTGCTTTTCCACCAGCTTTGCCAGGAGCTGTTCTTACCTCATCAGCAAAAGACAATTCAACCAATTGTATTCCACCTTACCCAATGAACATTTTTGCTGAACCATAATCTGATACAACTACAGAAAAAGAACAAAGACAAAAGCCTACTAACAGGAGAATTTAACCCTATTGCTTGCAATGAACTGAATTCTTGTTTCTAATACCAGGTAGAATGCTTAGTTCTGGTATTTAGATGAATACTGTAAGAGGTATAGCTTTTCTTCTTTTGGAGTGGGAGTGGAGGGTTGGTTGGTTGTTTTCTCAGCATGAACACATTGATAAAAAAAATTATTAACCACAAAGCACATTGTCTTTTGATTGTACAGAATAGAGAAGCAATTCCTAACTGCCAGAACATCACAGCTAGAAGCAAATGCTTTGCATGAGCTATCCAGCTGCACGCATGCATCCATACATGAGTTCTGATTTCAGAATTTCAGTGTCACACAATTTTCATAACTATGGTTCAAGCTAGAAATATAGTATACAAATAGCACACAAGAGCAGTTGCACGAGTATTCTCCTATGGCCAGAAACATCTCACTGTAAAGAGCTGACATCAAATTTTTGAGTATGATCATGCTTTAGAGGCTGATATATCACTTCCAAAATTTTCAGCCCACTGAAAGACATTAGTGGTTTGTAAACAGATTTGCCTTTTTGTATGTTGAAACTATCAGATGAAACTTGCTACTCAGAGTGCACTTGGGAACCTGAAGGTGTTGTAAGTTGTTCTGCATTGCAAGTTTGCAGCACAAATTACTATGGAGTATAAAAAAGTGTGAATTAAAATAAACCAACACACAACTATAAACATTTTCTGCTCAAACTGCAAGACATGCACTGGGTACAAAATGTGCTTCCTGCATTGAAATTTCTGATTCAGAGGCTTTTGAACAACAATCTAAGTACCAAATAAAAACCTGTTTCAAAAATACTGTACCTTTAGGAGTTCAGGTTCCCATGAATCCAGCGTTAAAGATCTTACTTTTGAAAAGTGGACTCCCAAACTCCTAAACAACATGGAAAAAAACATTAACCTGTAACTACATGTTGTATCTTACCTCAGACAGATTTACCATTAATTTATGCAAATAAAGCAGTTACCTTAATTCTATCTACAAACAAGGGTCTCTAATTTTCTTTCAATATACCTTTGAAGAGGCAAACATCACCTTTCCTAATTAAGCCAATGCACAAATCAAAAGCAGTTGTGAGGAGTTCCCCAACCTGTGTATCCCAGAGCACTCGATGCACAGTGTGATTCCCAGGTTGATACTGGCCCAGCGAGGATCTGCCAAACCACAGTCACAGCAGGCAGCATTACCAGGAATACACTGGACTCGCTGCAGAGCACTCTCTCCTTTCAACAGCTTCTCTTTGGTCTCACTCCCAGATTCTAGGCTCCCAGTAGAAGGGGATGATTTCTTTTCCTGTTTCTAAAAGAGAAAAGACACAAACAAACCAATTAAGAGACACATGCTAAACTAAAGAAATTGAAGTCTCACAGATAATAACTGTGCACTAAAATCCAGGAAAGGCTCTTCGGCCAAGGAAAGCCACAGAACTAAAAAAGAATGTTAAGGTTTTTAGAAGATATATAAAACTGAATATAAGAATATCCTATGATTTTTAATCACACTACAGAAAAACCTCAAAAAAACATATAGGACATAGCAACATTAACATGATGATGTGAAAGACATCAGATATAATTTACAACCTTCAAAATTTCATTGCTTTTCCACTGGAAGACAAACAATGGATTGTTTTTTTTCTTCCCTCTCTATTTCTTCTTCTCTATTAAAGAAGGTTTTATATATTTAAAATTTTCAGGATCTAAAGGGGAGGTTGTTGTTTGGTGGATTGTTAAACTCACCTCAGATTCATCCCCTTTCTCTCTATATGCTGTGGCAATACTGGTCTGAACAGCCTTAATCCACGCTTGCCGCAGCTTTTCCGAGTCAGCCTGAAGCATGCAGCTCCTGTGACAAATTAAAGTACTCAGAGACAGTGGCCAAGCAGCTGACATCCAACAACACATTGCTTAGGGGTCTGCTTTTATGGTTATACTTATATAACAAGTATATTGTTTAGTAGGCATCATTTAATACACACATTTATTTTAAGATAACAAAGCAGCTGAGCCTTTGTGAGCTGCAAACCCCTTATTTCAAAATTATTTGCGAGTAATGCTAATAGATGCAGAAATGACTTTTCCAAAAACACTGACAATGGCTTAGCTTCCTATTCCTTTCCTTATTCCAGATTTTTCTTTTTTATATCCTCAAATGCATTTTATCCCCATGACACAAGACACAGGTATCAGTCCTTGAAAACACAATTTCATTCACTGAGATCAAGAGAGAGTAACTTTAAAGTTCTCTGACAAAGAATGAACTACTTTTCTCATCAACAGTAAAAGAACCAGGTCATGAAGTATAAAACTGTTCCAACACTTATGGGTTGAAAAAGCACAGCCAAGCAAGGTACATGTTATAGTGACTCACAACTGGGAATGCAAACATCAGGATGGACAGCAATCTACTCAGAAGAGAAATGTAAGGAGGAATGGAGAGTGTAGATGACCTCGTATCAAAAACTTAAATATGGTTATATCTCAAAATCACTAATGAGGAATCCATGACCTGCCCTTGCTGTGGCAGGATGCCAAAATTCCCTAAGTACAGCCAATGCACTGCTAGAGCTGATACATAATTTTATTTGGTAGTTTCATTTAGTGCATTCTGAAGTATAATTCTACATCACTGAGACAACAGCTTATTTATGTGCTTCTCTCTCATTGGACCAATCAGAAATGTGGATAAACTGAGACCAATTTTCTACATTACTAAGCAGCTGATAGTATCAGCTACTACTAAGCCACAGCAGAGCTCTGCATCACAAGCTATTTATGCAAAAAGCACAAGAATGCATGTTTATTTTAATGCCAAAAGTAAACTAAATACCAGGGACACTTCTCACAGCATCACTTACTCTCAGCCAAAATTTCAGAGTACAGAATTTTTCAGATACTTTTCCTGTTCTGATCTATCCCAAGAGAAACATTAATTTTACATTTTAAAACAACTACATGTAATGATTTTTTTTTTTAAATAAACATACTCCATCGCTTCTCCTTACTTTGTTGGAGAAACCACCTCAAAACAGAAACGTCTTTCTATGTCTTCACAGTGTTTAACTGTGCAGAGCCGCAAGTCTTCAACAACTACTGTAGGATTATCCTAAGAGACAAAAGTTAACAAAAAAGTCACAGAGAAAAAATAATATAGTTGATAATAAGATAATAATTAAATCCTGATTTATTAATGAATGAATTCTATTTGCCTGGTTACACTAATTTTTTTCTTCCAAAAATAAAATTTGGAGAATTTCTTTTTACCTACAATCTACTACTATTATTCAATCTACTGAATAATCAATACCTTAAATTTAAACAACAGTACTCAAACTACAAATATACTCTAAGAAATGCAATTAACTCACAAATCAGAAAAGTTATACCTAAATCAGCAGTATTTAAGTGCCAAATTTAAAAAAAACAACCAGATGCTGAATGCAGTGGTTTTGAAAATTTGATTCAATTCACAAGAATTCCATTCTGAGCTATCAGCACTTTAAAGGTGCAGTTAAAAAAAAGAGCAACGAGAATTTACAAACACAAAATGCCCAACCAAACATGCTCACACAAACTCAACTGTATTGCCTTTCCAACCACAGAAATTAAGCCCCTTGATTTGACAGCATCAGATAACAAGGAACACTCTCTGATCCCAGTCTGTTTGCAGTTAAGAGGAATTAATTGTCTTAAGCTCTTTCTTCCTTTTTCCCCACTGTCTCCATATAGTCTCTACTTCTTTCCAACCTGAAGAACAGCTACAGCTCCTTGGTGCAAAAGCAGATTGTAGAACAACAAACAAAGGAGCAGGGGCCCAAAACCTGACTGAAAAGGCTTCTATGGCTTGAGGCAGAGTGGGACTTGCTGCTTTAACATAAAACTGCTGCACTTCCCACAAGCAACAAAGCAGATACTGACTGCTAAACCACTGTGCATTTTCAATATTAAATACATGTAGACAGAAGCCCTGACTGCTTCATAACAGAAGCTTTCATGTTTTTTTCCCCCAGTTGCTGAATTGGGTGTGTGAACCAGTAAATAACTGGAGGGAGCAAGTCCTGAAAGAGTTAAACACAACTGCTCAGAGAACAGCATGGAATATCCGACTGCCAACAAGTGAGCACAAGCCTTCTGGGACCAACAACTTTTAAAGCTCTAACTAGGTTACAAAATCCATAGCAAATAAAGTATGTGCTTACAATCAGTGCACAGGAATCTCAGAATTTGTCAGAGTAGCTATTAGTCTCATTTTACAAAGAAAGAAACTAATTTAGAAAAAAGCAGTAGGTTCTTAAAGATCACATGGGATGCCACATCAGCAGTTTTCCCATCAGTCAGGAAAATCATCACCCAAACCCCAAACTATCCCGAGCCAGTTTTCAATTCCTACCTTAAATTTCTTCTGGTACACAAGTTGGTTATTTTGTATTGAGAACCAGCGCCTATTCAAATGAAGAGACATCCAGAGAATACATAACTGATTTTACAGTGCTTATTTGACTGACATGTGCTAACATACAGTCTACAAAGAGACTGAATAAAAGAATTCATGAAAGTAATGCTGCAGTCAGTTTTGGCAAATAGTTCATAAAAAAAACAAAAAAAAGGGAAAGCAGAGACAAAACAGAAAAGAAAGCAAGGTTCAAATAATCTGAGTCCTAAACAAACACAAATTTATGTTATGACAACATTAGTTAAGCTATCACACAAAAGATTTTCATTTCAAGGAACATTTCCTTCAGTATTTTAGCAGCAAGTTACAATTTTAAGTAGTTGTTTGGTAACACAAATTCAGATAGTTTGAATAATAAAAATACTTAAACCCATGTAAACTAATCCTGAAATATTTTTGGGAGTAGACCTAACTTAATAAGGCACTAAAAATACTTCTGTGTTGTTATCCAATTTGAGTTTAATATCTATCTACATTGGGCATGTCTTAAAATTTTTGATCCTGAAATAAAAACACTGCATATAAAAAGTAAAAAAAAGCAATTAAAACCTTTTAAGTAGGATCCTAACTTAAGCTTCAGCTTTGAAGAAAAAAAAAGATTTTATGAAGGCATCCTGTAAAATCCAAAAGATAATACAATCCTTAAAAACTCCTCTGAACTTTATCCTTCCTTGTCAAAGTCACTGCTTATACAGGATACATCTCGGAGAATGGAAAAATAACTCATATTTCGGAAAAAATTACCTCAGATCTCTAACAATGATGTTTTATCAGACATTTATTTATTTAATTTTTTGAATGAAAAAAAAAAAACAAAACAACAGTAGACATAACCAGGCCTTTCTAGCTTTTCTGGGATGCACACAAAAAAAGGCTAACCAATTATCACAGTTCCATTTTCACTGACAAAAATGAAGGGAATGTAAAAAACAATTCAGTGAAATTTACACCTTGTTTTGTTCAGGCTTATAATGCAAACCTCTATTTACCACAGCAATTCCTCAATTATCTCCAATACCCCACCTTTACCATAACTCACTTCTTTACTGCCAGTTAGTTTGAATGGTAACAGTACACAACATACTGTGTTGCAACAGATCTTGTTATTCTCCACAGGCTGTTGAGCTTCAACCTACAGTTTACCACAATTAGTAACAAGAGGGCCTCATGTATTTATTCATCCACCACAAGCCATTCAAGGAAAGAAGTGCACAAAGACGGTTAAGAAAAAGTAATATATACAAAAAATGTTAGATCCAAAACAGAAAATCCAGTATGTGTTAGAAAGGTTAGCGTTTCATAGACAGATGAGATTCTACCTTTTAACAATCTTTTCAAATGTTGTGCAGATATATTCAATTTAAAAAGCAACAACGGTATCTCCTGTCATCCTTGACTTTTTCAATCTGTTAATAGCAGTAGTTTTAGTCACTGCTATTGTAAAGGTATCATCTTTACTATCTATTTACAGATGCAGTAAATATGCCCCACATGTAAGGTTATTGCTAATATTCATCTAGGAAACGTAATAAAAAAGCAGAATTGAAAAGGAAATAAACTCACATCTTTTTTCATGTGCTTTTTTTGAGCATAACACAAAACAGAACAACATGAAAAGTGGTGCCTAAGTGATAAAGGGAGTGGTAAAGGGGGAAAAAAAGCAGCCTTGCCCCAACACAACGAGCAATGGAGCAAATCCCTAATAAGAACCTTAGCAAGTGCAATTAACTTCATTAATGCAATGCCTCATTTGTTCTACAGCTAAATATTTAATGAGTTACTCTAGTAAACAAGCTCTAATCTCATCAGTTGGATATAAGTGAACACACAAATTGTAACACAAATTTGTGCCATCTTTAAAAGCTTCTAGTCTAGAAGTTTTGAAAGTATTTCAGTCCCTTTTTTTCCTAGTAGAGAAATTAAATCTGTCAAAGAAAAATTTTCAGTCTAGCCAAAAAGGGTGCAGGCTTTGGTGATTTTCTAAAATAAACTTTTACTGAATGAGATCAACAATTTATAATGTAGGATAACTTGTAGATCACACTTTAGAAGTAGATGTCAGAGTGAATACATTTTATTTTTTACTTAACAAGATGATAGCATAAGGCTACCCTCCAAGGTGTCAGCACCACAGCAGTTTTATTCAGGCCAAAAACGTGGAGTTACTCCTCACTAACCAAATACTATCAACAAACTCTACTGCAGCAAACAGACTGCTGAGGGGTCTACACCAGCATCAGCTAGGAACACCTGAGGTACAGTCTGTACTGAAGGTGCTGCTGTAGGGTAATCCACATCTATCAGGTTCTTAGAATAATTTAATAAATATTTAGACATCATGTGTGCATTAAGTACTGATTATTACCAAAGTTTCTTTCAATGTGTCATTCTGTCAAAAGCAAGAGAGAAGCATGGTTAAGGAGGAAACATTATTGGGAATATTAAAGTAGTTTACACTGTCTCACTTTGCAGTGGTCGAATATAGTTGTTCCTATTTAGAAATGGAATGTTTTCCATCATTTATACCTACACAATTCAAAACCGTATTTATTAAATAGGAAACAATGCAAAACCTATAGAAAAAATTTCTAGTTTCTGAAAACTGAGAGCAATATTGAGAATATTGAAGTATAAAATTTGAGTTTTACATAAAACAATGAATTGTGATTTCTGATTCTCAGAAACAGTTTTCTCCTCTAGTTGCTAGCAGCACACAATTAAAACAGAGTAATTAAGAATGCACAACATTTAAAAGTACATGTCTATTGCCAATGCAGTTGATAAGAAAAAAGAAAAATCTCATCAACTTCAATTGGAAAAAGGCAAGACATTGATCTTGTATGCTCAGTTTGAGTGCAGAAACGTGGCTTTAATTCCTTTTTTAGCTAAAAACTAGCTCAATCTTTCTAAACCTTTTAATGGAGTTGAGCAGCAGGTATACTGGCATCCCAGGCAGAATCCTTCTGTTATTTTCTTAGACTGAGTCACTTATACATCCATTGCAAGTAATCAAAATTAAATGCAGGGTTAATGAAGAGCTTTTTGCGTGCCAAGGAAACATTGGGAAGGTATAAAAGAAGCTGGTTGGTACCTGATGTGATCTGGCTTTTTCCTGTCATGTGAAAAAATGGGGTAGGATTAAAACATAAGGGAAAGGAGGAAAAGGGATGAAAAATGCAAAATGAGCAAAATATGAAAAGAATTAGCATGATCTGAAAATACAGCAGAATTAAAAAGGAAACCATCTATTGCATCCAATCTAAAACCTATTTGGAATATACTTAATGGTTTAACAAGTGCTTTTCTCTCTACACACATATATTCTTTCTTCATAATATATACTTATTTTTCATCTGAATTTCTGAGAACCAAAACAGCTTTCTAGCTACTGCTCCATAATAAATGCACCTGACTCTAGTTCCTGATGCCTTAAGAAAACTGGTGTACAATAAGGTATATAATTTACCAACAGACAGAAATACATTCTAAACACAGGCGTCCATACCCAGTACTCTAAGACTTTGCAGTACAAGGATATAATTTTGATTCCACTAAACTGTATTATCTGAAATACTTGTGTACATTATACACTGTCCTTTTAGACACAACAAAAAGAGATTACCAAAGCTCCATCTCTTTCAAAACACAGCAACACTGACTTGCAAATAGCTCAGGGTTTACTTTGCAGCCTGCTCAAACACTTATTTGTATCTAAAGCCAGTGTCACGCAGAACTGTCCCAAGAACAGGAAACTTGATGCAAAAGCCCAAAGAATTAAAGTCTTGAGACAATGAAACGTGAGCTGCCAGGTGCCCCAGGAAGAAACTTCATTATGCTAGCAAGACATTAATTTGTACTGGAAACAAATTTTCATTCACCACAACAGATTTTCCCCCTTCAAAAGGCTGCATTATACAGTCTTTTTTTTTTTTCTCCCGCAGCAACCAGGATAATACCACTGTGGGGTCCATGGATTCACCGACCAAGATGTGCACACAGCAGCATCACATTTCTCTCATTCATCAGCTAGAATCATACTGCTGTGTCAAACCCAGACAAAACCTATCATGCCCTTGCCTCTTCTCTTATGTTTTTAATGCTGGCAAGTATCTGCTAATAGTGGCCATTGAAATGTTTTTGGTGCCTTTAATTAACTCTTGAAGGAGCTCTTAAAAAGGTCTAGAATCAACATAAGTCCAACTGACACCAATAGGGGCAAAAGAGAGGTCCCAGTTTTAAATACATATTACTACTGACAGTGTATTTAGCAGTCAGCAAGGAAGGCCAGTGCTGTCACCCTTGGTGGAGAACAGCAGGAAATTCCAGTATTTCTAGGCAAATTCGTCTAGTTTTGTTTCAGCTGGTTGATTTTCCACCCACCTTCCCCAAAGACAGGGCTATAATAAAGCAGCAAACTGCTAATCTGTAAGAGCAGTAAAAGTATCTTTTCTGTCTTGACTTCAGCTTAGAATTCCCTAAAATAAAATACATAATTCTCTAAATGTTTCCTCCTTTGATATTTAACAAAATTTTACACACAGAACAGTTTAACACAATGGCAAAATCCTTTCTTGCAGTTTAACTAGTGACTGGAAAAACCCGCTAATCTCTAGTATGTGATAGACTTCAATCGAGTATCTCCCCACAGCTGAAACTGTAACACTACACAAGTAAAACCTTCCATCACGTGAAACAGGCAGTGGAAATTGACAGTGACCCCTTCTGTGCCTACAGCATAGCAAGCAATTACATATGTGTTCAGAACTAAAAATAACAAAAATACTTTATTTTTATTAAAAAATAGCAAAAGTGGGGGGCTAGATTCAGAAATGAAAACTTCATCAAGGTCTTAAATGTATATTTTATGTATGATAAAAGTAGTTTAATAGCAATTAGTAATGGTTTGTGAACATGTGGAATACAAAATTTAAATAATTGTTTAAATTTCAGAAATGTTTATAGGTAGCATATCCAATTCTATTTTTTGCCTAAAAGCATCCAACTCCAACATTCATCGCAGAGAGATACATTATCAAGAATCTAATACTAAAAAAGTTAAAGGTTTTGCTTTATTAAATGCCCCTGTGGTAAATAGAAGAAAAAACTAAGTAAATACCAATTATGTAATAAAAGTAGGCAGCTCTGACTCATTAACAAGCTGCTTATCTTTGCCCTCTTAAATTATTGCTTGGATATTTTTTCATTATCTTTGTTCAAATCTGAAACTTAATCTGAAGGAATGTCATTGTGTATCTTGATTTAATTACAATTTCTCCTTATTTACTTTGTGTCCATTTAAACTACCAACATACAGACATTAGTTTTAATTGACTCCTACTCTCTAATCACTTTAAGGTAAGTATAGGAACAAAGCTATGTGGAAGCAGACACTCCTGTCCTGCTCTCTCCTGTCACCTCCCTGCACAGCAGGGCCTTTCTGCATTTCAAAAGAGGAACCCAGAGACAGAGTCAGAGTTTCACCATCAGTCAATCTGGCAATGGCAAAAAGGACCCTTTCAGCCCCTTGGGAATCCAATCAAGGACAATCGCCTGCCCTATTACTGCAGATTTTTCTCAGTATGCTTATAGTAACATTTTACTTCACACCAGGAAGGTGCTTTTGATGCACATCTCCTGGTTTTCTCTCTTCACTATCCTTTGATGCTTCACAGATCTTGGAGACCTTGGAGAACTCTGAATTCTGCCTGCATGAAACTAACCCAGAAAGTACATTACAATTACAGATGAATAATCAGGCCAAAGGACCAGACCTTTGTACTAGTTGCCCGTGACTTGTTAATATAGATACATTCTTACTGACATCAGTGGCCCTAGCATCACTTTATGGATTTAATTGAAGCGATCCAAATTTCTTACAAGTTTGTGGTGTGCTGAGAAGCTCAAGGAAGCATAAAAAAATTAGGATTGGAAGGGACCACCCACTGAAATGCACATTCTGTCCTTTCAAACACAGCAAATAGTTCAACAGAAGCCCTGATGAAAATACAGCAGAACATGGACAATAGAGAGCTCTGTATCACAAAAAATTAAATTTAAAATTCAAGAACTGTATCCAACTCTGCTGTAACTGCTCCAGCATATATATTTCCTTGAAAAAAAGTACACACCATTGGAAATGCAAAAGAAATCCTGTTCAGGAAGAAAAATATTTAAATAGTAGTAAAATACACATTGTTTAAGATATATGACTAACAATATATTTTGAATTCCCAAAAGGGCCATCAAAACTACTAAGCAAAAGTCACTGCATAGGACAGGAATTTTAAAGGATAACAATTACATTGCTTATCTTTCAGGAAAAATAACTTGAGTCCTTGACTGTGTTAGTTTGCTTCCAGTGGCTATACAACTTCTATTTTACTCTGTCTTCTAACACTTTCCTAGCATATGCTTTCACAAGAGAAGGGTTTGCAAACAACTAGGACAGAAAACAAGGAAAAATGGCTTTGAAGTGTCATCTCAAAGTTAACTAACAGAGTCACCCCAGCGTTCTGTCAAAACTATGGAGTCAGCGAGTTACAGAGATTATGAATCAGATGAGAATTCAGGTTAAAAAGCAGTATTTTTGTAAGCAGCAAATAGAGGTTCTGAGTAATTACCTGTTCCAAGTCTTGAAGGCATTGCTGGCTCGCTTGAATAAATAACCTTCCATAACGATGCCATTGGCTGCATCTACATTGTATTCTAGTTTAGTATCATCACTGGAATAATCCTAGTACAAAGGAACAAAAAAAACGCACTGCAGTTCAAATGAAACTTCAAATATGAGCAGTACTATTGTCAAAGAGTAAATATCGAAGAATAAAGTTTTCCTTGCAACATTTATTAGTCAAACGATGACTCTCAGCTCCTAATGGCATTTCTTAAAAAAGCAATTTTAGGAAATGAGAATGCTGAAGATTTTTACTTTACCTGCAACAAGGGGAATTTCTTGTACAGGTACTGATGACCTCTACAACCAAATAGAGGGCAAACATTGCTGACAGAGCATCTGATGTTTCAACTTTCTGCTCAAATGGTCTCTCACATTTTCCCAGCAAAGGGGATAGAAAAGCAGAGGAAAAGAAGCCATGAAAATTAGGAGTCAAAACTGAAAAACAGTTGCAGCCTGTTGCAGACACCTGTATAATGCCAGTTGTGCTTTAGCATTTGCTTCCGCTCTGTCATGTTGACAGCTGAGCTACATAGGAACTTGGAAGACAAGTAATCAAATAAAGATGATGCCATCAGTTAACTCTAGAGTAAAGCAATCAAAGTGCTGGCACTGATGACAAGACCTTAGCAGTAATTTTTTCTTTATGATCTTGGATAAGATTATAAAATTACAAGTAGGACAAGGGAATATGCATTTCCATCAACTTAATAACAACTAAAACCAGCTAATAACAATTAACAGCAGCTTTCCAAGCTTTAGAAAGGCTGACTGCTTCACATCTTCAGCAAAGGTAGGTTAGACTAAGTAATAATATATGTGGTGATCATTTGCTTTCACATCTCATTGAGAACAGCATGGGCTCTTCCCAGGGAGGTAGAGTTCGGATATTCAGTGAGTGGGAGGCTAACATCTACAAGGGGTGCATGAAAAAGCACACATGGAATGACATCATTTATAACAACTTTGTCCAGAGATGAAAATAATATACATGCTGTTATTAAAATATATATCCTTAAAGTAGACTAGCAACATATGGCTTCTTCCCCTTAAAAAGGGTGTAAGAGACATATTACTGAAAATTAAATTTCAGAAGAAAAAAACCAAACAAGTTAAATACTTAAAAACCAGAACATTTCAAAATATGACCTTCCTGAACCTTCAGTAGTTACTTTTTGTAAATTGGAAACATCAGCTTTGCATGAAAAGTATATCTGAAAGTCTCTGTTTTGTACTTTGCTCCTTAGGAACTTTTCTATACATAAACAAAACCAGGCAAGAAATATATATATATATATAAAAAAATAGCTTCAACACCAACATGGTCATTAGCTCCAGGTAATAGCCCAGGATGCACACAACTTTCGTGCTACACATGATGTTTACTTTTATACATGCAGATGGTTTGGTCCAATCCAAGGTTAATTACACATGATAGTGAAATGGTTACAAATATTAAAATGGGCTCTTTAAGCTCACCAGTCGGAACAGCACAAATTCCTTAAAATTACTCACTGTTTTCAGCTACTGCTAACCTGGATAGATTAACTAATGTTGAAATGTTAAAACTAGATTTTTATTATTGATTAACAGATGATCAGTGCAAGAGTTCTGAAAGAAAATGAAACTATCATGTCACTACCATACACCAATCTGAATAAACATACTAGTTACAAATGAAAGCTTCACCAAAAGCAAATAATTTTTTGTATTTATTGTTTAGCATTTAATAACTTTGACTTTCTGCCTGTTTTCTAGATCAGAACATGCTGAACATAAAAGGCTTCATGTAAGCTCTCAAAATAAAAAGAAAACCACTATGCACAAACTTAGACATGCTGATGTCACATTCCCTACATTCCCCCAAAAAGGATAAATTACTCTAACTTACCAGCTCCCAAACATAATGAAATCTGCTAAAGATTTGCATCTTCCTGCCTCACTGATGCCTGCAACTCCTTGTCTAGTTAAACACAATATACATTTCCTCAGTCTTTTCTGTCCAAACTACTATGTAATCAGATTTTCCTCTGGGTTTGGAGAACTGCTGCAGCAAATGCAGCTGTCTTTTCCAGTGAGTCCAGATCTGTGCTTCGAAGGTGCATACAATTATGACAGGAAACCTTCATATCATTTGTCATGCCACAGTCTCAGTCGGAATTATCTAAAATACTGCGCCTTCTCATGAAATGCATTTAGTGTAATTTTTAATTACTTCCCTGATTGAATTCCACTTTTACAGAGCAGAAAAAGACACCAGAGTGTAGAGACAAATGTCAAATATCTCCTTAACTGTATATGGCAGACTGTGAGCTGGAGCGGGGAGGGAGTAAAGCTTCCATGTGCTTTATCCACAAAAACTTAATTGATAAAGTTGTAGTCAGGGAAAACATGACCAAACAATCAGAAAAAAAAATAAATATGCTCCATTTAAATTCCATGGATAAAAGGAGAAAATGAAACTAAATTAGCTGTGTTCTGATCTCAGTCTCTGCTATTCTATAATTAAAAAATAGGAGCAAAGCAGTCACATTATTGTTTATTTTTATCTTGGCGCATGGAAAAGTTTAGTGAATCACAAAAAATAATCTGGGGTGGAGAAAAATCCACCCCTATCTTTCCAGTGTCCTGCATAAGAGAATCACATGTTAATAAACTAGTCACTGTATGTGATTCAGAATTGTGTATTCTGCCAGCAGGCACATAACTGGTAAAGACTTCATTTAAAATGTAATTAAACTAATTAGATGTCAGTTAGGATTAAAGCAGATTTCACCTAATCAGAACTAAGAAAATGTAGCCAGTATTACGTAATTTTCACTGAAGTGCTACATCACACATTTCATTCAGTTTTGAAAGAATAAACATGTATGGCTTCTATTCTGACACTGATTTTTCACGGTTGGCTGCTACTGGAAGAGAAACATGTAGAAGCAGGTTATATAAGTGAACAGCATGCTTTCATGCCTTTTTACCCCATTTTCTTTAAATGTCCATGGGGTACAGCAAACCAGCTGGCAATGGAAAAACAACTTTCATCTCCAGAAATAATACTAATCTGTGTGTCACAGAAGACAATATTCTTGACAGTGTTTCAGTGAATGCTTTTTTGTATGAACGTATCAATTCATCACACATATTTGATTTATTTCAGAGCATGTTTTCTTTTTCTCTGTGCATGATTTTCTTGTTTGCAAAACAAAACCCCCCATACTTTTCAGTAGCAGAGCTTTTGTTTTACTTTCAAAATTGCTATCAGGCTATGAAAGCTATTGAAACCATTTTACTAGTAAATCTTAGGAACTATATTTTAACATTGAATGTGTAACCCAAATGATGTTTTTACTTTAGAGAAGGAGCATTATAAAAATTTCTTTAAAAGGCAGTAAATGGGAGAGCATAAGTACTAAAGAAAATACTAACCTGAAAAATTAGGCCAGCATATACTAAACAGGAGACACTAATTGTGCAAACCCCTCATTTAGAAAGTTGCTTCCATTCCCTCTCCATTGGCAAGAGATGTTTGTCATGCTTAAGCTGAAAAGTCCCTCGAGGAAGGGTTTAAAACAACAGACACCACAAGTACCAAGGTTTTACAGTCCAAGAGAGTGAGAAAATGCAAGAGTGTCATTGAGCAAACAAGTCACTTGAAATACAAGCACATCTTTGGTTTTGGAGACAGGATTATTCTACACATCTTCTCAACAGCAGCTCAGGTTTATGCCTGCTTTGTGATTGTGGTAGCATCTGTTTTCCTATTACCTTGTTTACTCAAGATGCTAAAAATTTTCAAATCATTCTCACTCCAGCTGTTTCCTGAGCAGTTCTTCAGAAGCAGATTTTTACTTTAATGAAAAAGGGATTTGAATACAACAAAAACTATTTGAAGTTCAATGCAAATACTTTTCCTGTACCATCTCCCTCATTTTAGAACAAAAGATTAGCTTTGACACAATACCAAAAAGCCATGAAGCTCTTGACAGGTGCAACTGATTTTTAAAATATTTCTTAATTAAACGTGTTGTTGCAGCAATGGGCTGCAAACTGCTCAGAAAACAAGAGTCATATCTAATGTATTGACACTGCGACACCATTCTTTTAATATGAATCTTTCCTTATAAAAATATATTGCAAAAATTTCCCAGAATGGTCATGAAATTTCTAGATTAATTCATAGCACGTGTTGCTACAGTTTAATACAGAAAAAATAATTTCTTACACTGAAAAAAATAAAATTAAAAAAAAATGTGTCCTGGACATCTTCTGAGTAAATAGACCATAAAACTTACAAGTAATTAAGAAAAGTAAATCATATTATCAGATCTGCTAAAAGAGAAATCACACTGTATTGGTGACCAAGCCCTTCCATGACACTTTTTAATAGCTTCTCCATCAACAGCCTAATTAAGTAGAACAATGATTATACAGAAAAGTGAGATGGGTTATTTAATTAGTGCAATTATTCTGCATGCATATGCACATATATGCAAACACAGGTAGTGGGTGGGTAGGTGTGTGCACGTATGCACTTACCTATACATTTCAGAAAAGGAACTGTTCTTTATCCACACAATGAAGGAAAGGCATCATTCTGAAGCATTAGATTAGAACTTCAGTATATTAAATGCATATATACCTCATGGAATATTCAACACAATAAGCTTCAGAAGTTTCAGTTGTTATAAAACATGGAAGGATTTGGCATTGGAAGATTTGGGAACATAGTGGAAAGCAACATGACAAGACATGAGAAGAGAGTGGGGAATAAAGTTGCCATCCGGCACAGGGTGACCAGATGACGAGTAGTGATAAAAAAAAAAAAATCCAAAGTTTAAGGCAGTTCTGAAATCCTGATGAGCTAGAAGCTAACTTGTTGTGAAGGTTGGGAAGAGCAAGTAGGAGGAGACAAAAACAGACAATGTGATTTGAATAAGAAACTGAGAAAATGATTGGACAAGCTATAAGAGGAATCTCCAATAAAGCACAGTTCAGGCATTATCAGCACAAAAATGCGACAGTGACTTCACTGATAAGGACAAGAGACAACATTTACAATTCAAAACACAGAACTTAAGAGGACAACATACAGTACATTCTGACTGCTCTGATTGTATTTTAGAAACAGCATTAAATTGTCAATTAAAGTAAGTAACAATAAAAGTAACATCACTGTGCTTGTCGCTCCTACTAGAAATCAAGAACATTTATAGTACACACAGATACAGCTTATCAAGTTTCATGAAGCTTAAAAGTTTCAGTAATAATTGAAACTAGTAAAAGTAGTTTACCTGTAAAGCAGCCTTAAGCAGCATTTGAAGAAAAAACAAAGACTTGTAAACACCATTGGCAACAGCAGTGGCCATAATTCATGGGAACCAGCTATTATTTCTATGGCAAATTAAAAGATAATTGCTCATAACTTAAATCCTTCACCAAGCACCACTGTCCTCTTTAACTAGTTGAGAGAACCTCTCAACTAGTGTCCATTCCTGAAACTGAGGCTTTAAGCCAAATAAACTTTAAATTTGACCTTCAACATTAATTCTCAAGTTTCATCTTTCCCCTTTCCTCCCTTTCTTCCCCTTCCTTGCCTGTAGTTATCTCCTGACTCGAAGCACAGCATGTCAGCTCTGCCCTCATCATCACATCTGCTCAATTTCACAGCAATCCTAATGCTTCCCACCAACTCCTAAAGGGATGACAGGATGCACCAATAAAAATGTTTTCAGCAACCAAAAATGTTACCTTTTCCCATTAGTATTAATATTGGCTCCTACTAAGACTACCCAACGTATAATCTCAGTATGTTTATTAAACATTATTATTAAAATAAATTCCTGAATTTATTTAGTTATCAGATTTCATTTATACTGGGTGGGATTTTTTAATTCATGCCACCTGAACAGATACAGAACGTATTTGAATGATAGTAAGAAATGTAGCATTACCTTTAAACTGCTATCTAATTCCTTTTAAAAGTGCCTGTAGTATTAGCTCACTACCAGAGAGTTTGGTGGAAATATTTTTAACTTCTGGCATTATACCTGCAAAACCAATACTGATCTACAGCTTCTGAAACATCCAAGCATCAGAAGTCATTCCCCCCAACATGAATTACCAATAGTTTTCTCAATAATTAAAAAGAATTATTGCACAAATCTTCCCCAGAACACCAATTAGATGTTCTCAATTTCGTATCTGTGCACAGCTGAACCAGTACATTAGACACTCATTAAAAAAGTTTACTTTTGCTCTTCATATGCAACAGCAGCTGCCACACAAGCTCCAAGTGCTGCACTTGGATTTGGCACAGTCCAAAGTGAAACCTACAGCTGTAAGGCTGTGCAGCACATACACCTCTTCTACAAACACACAGCATGGAAACACAGAAACCTGTACAACTTACTCAATTCAAGAGGTAACAGGAATTAGGAGTTCTACTGAAATGCAAGAATCCCGGCATTCAAATAAATTCTACTGTTCTATTTATGTCTCCATAAAAACTAAGCATAATATTTTGTTCGGTAACACAAAATTAATATCTGTAATCCAACCCTACACTTAATGACGTGTCAGTATGTCTCTCTGCACTAAAAATACCATCCCTTGTAGTTCTGATGCAGAGATGCTGGGGAGAGATGCTACAGATAAAAAAAAATGTGTGTGCAGCCTGCCTTTTACATTCTGTTAAGTACCTTTTGTTGAATAGTGGAGTGCTTTTGCTCCATATCTCTCTTCTCCTTTGCAGCATCTACAGCCAACTGATCCAGCTGTAAAGAGAAACAGAAAATTGGATCTTTAAATTATCATAAGAAATTTGACTCAGTAGATTTCACAATGCTGACAAAAAAAAGAACACATTATGTCTAGACATTGCAAGACTTCTATTTTATTTGCACAGTATAATTACTTGTATGTCACAAATTGTTTACCTTGAATAACCACTGAAGCCTTGTTTAAAGCACTGCTCTGCCACCCTGAATTAACCTCTACAAAGGTGTACATTTCTTGTAAGCATTAGAAGAACTGTTTCAAAGAACAGCATGGTGCCAAGCATATGCGACTCTACCGCATTGGTGCTCAGTCTCCCAAGAGGATGACTCATGCTTTAGCTGCTCTTGCTGGCCTATGCAGCAGCACTGGCAGGAGCAGCAAAAACTAGAAGGAGCAAGTGCTATGGATTTTTCCCTCCACAAAGTGGGACAACTGTCTCAACCAGGATTTTGTGTTGATAGTTTTGATCAGCAGTACACGAGCAAGATTGCTTGAAGTCTTAGGCAGAGACAATCAAACTAATTTTGGAAATAAAAATATGGTTTTGAAATTAACAGAGATTGTCACAGAGAATATTTAAGTTGGTATCCTTACAAAGTCTGTGATAATAAAAAAGCCACTACCCAAAAACTTTCCTTTTACAATCAGAAAAATAAGAGAACATTTAAGATACCCTGTAAGAGAAAGTTTGATTGGGGTTTTCTTCTTTTGGTTGGTTTTGTTATATAGTTTTGAATCTTTGGGTTTTGTTGTTTGTTTTATTCAGGCCTTCATGTTTAAAGAAGAAATGCAGTAGAGAAGCAGATGTTGTCTGAAAGAGTAGTTGGTTTGGTACTTACCCAGCAGCCCATAACACAAGGCTGCCATTACCCAGCGGTGCAGACACAGCGCTGAGCGCAGGGCTCGGCCCGCAGCTCTCGGCTGAGGGACAGGGCTGGCTCTGCTCCAGGCCCACAGCGAGAACAGCAGGAGCAGCGTGCAGCAACACCAGCTCCCAGCTGGGTCACTCGCTTGGCACAGGGCACAGATGACTAACACATCCTCTGATCCACACACAAAGAGGATCCCCTGAACCTGCTCTCAGAACCACAAGTGACAGGCCCCTGCCAACTCCGGCCATTTCCCTGGTCTTTCACTTCTCTGCTTGACATGATATAAATGAGAAAAAAGGGACAATAACAGGCCCTTACACCCTTGTGCTAAACAGTCTCCAACAATTATGGAGACATCAGAAAGCTGAAACATCTGGATCCAATTCCATACTCCGTTACTTTTTTAACTCTTCTCTCCCTGTCTTCCCCTCTGGCTCAAAAGGCCATACCAGCACTTGCACACCTTTATAGGCATTTGTGAACAGGAACATATTGAAGGCTGAAGTGTACAGATGCCACATCTAAGCAGCTCTAGGACTTAAAAATTACACAAGAGCCTCTAAAACAGAGACTGGGCTCAAAGATTGTTTTGCATCAAGAATCCTTGGGGAACTCTTTCTTTCATGATAAAGGTAAGAACTGGGTCAAGGGCTGTTCAAAACTTTATATGTATCTTGCTAAAAACTCCAGATTCAGGCATCTGCACATGGCCCCCAAGATTCTTCCTTTACCCCATTAGATGAAACAGAAGGCAGTCACTCAGGGTAGGGCAATTACCTCTAATTTATCTTGAATATAAATGTTTGAGGGTACATTTACCACAGCCAAACAAAATTCTTAACAGTAGCTCAATCCAGTTACTTTTTTTACTATGTAGGCAGCATTGCACCATTCCTGTTTGCAAGCTCAAACCACAGTTTCTTCCATTTCACTCAGGTGAGCAGCACATCAATTGTCTTAAAAGAGACCAACAGCATACAACTATCAAAAGCTGTAGCAAATCACAACTAAACTATCAAAATCCCAGTCATTATAACATCACTAAGTAATTTTCAGAAAATCTGTTTTTTCGAACTACTGCATTTACTGGTAAATACATTTTTATAAACATAATGCTATAACTGGCATTCTGAGGAGAATTAAGTCAGACTAAAATATTCAGCTTTTTGAATAGTCATCTCAATGAAAATTCAAATGTTTTCTTTTTAAGCTAATACCACATTTCATATGAAAAGAAACAAAACCCATAGTTTCCATGCAAAAGCTCATATTATGCTTGCACACTATTAAAGAATCCCATACAATGACCTGGTTCTTAAGGGATCCTACCCTGACCTGAAGTATCCAGAAAGCAAAATTGCTTAATCCTATTCCATCACAGTAAAACAGTTATTTTGAAAATACAGACAAAAAAAATTCAAAATTATAACTATACTATTCAAGATCAATTTTATTACTTCAGATGCTGTTAAACCTTGTAATTAAGATCATGCACAAAATTCACCTAGGAATGAAAACTCACTCACCAACAGGAGGAATCTAACAGCATTTTCACAAAAATCCAGCAAATCCCCGTTATGTCACAACATACTTTGTTAAAGGCAGAAGCTTCAACCAGTACAAGCTGCAAAGCCACCAACTGTTAAAACTTTCAACAGCTATTTACAAATCTGCTTCTGTCATGAAAAATATCCATTACTTAAACACCAAGGTGTGCTACAAAAGAACAATTCCGCAAGTTGTACAACTTTAGGGTCTTCAGTCCATCCTTGCTCCAACTGCAATATATTTAAAACATTCTTAGCTATGGATTTTCTAAATTTAACTCCTTCAGTTGCTATGATACCAGCACCAAAATGAATGCTACACAGTGCTCCTTACCAGATCAAGCAAAAGCATGACCAGACATTCAAAAATAACCTTGTATTTTCTTACTTGAATCACATCAATGAAATGGAAACACTGAAGCCTGGCTGATAGCCTAACCCACTGTCAACTCCATAGTTTGTGTCTCCTTTCCTCATCCCCTCTTCCACAGAACTGCAGGACACTCATGTTATACAACCAGACACTAAACAGTTCAACACTTAAAATCCAAACTGGGAGGCTGTTGAAGAATAAAGGGCACATTTATAGAAGAGTAACATCCACCTAAACTGTTCAAGTACCCCTATTACACCAAGACCTGACATATTTCTACACATAATTAAGACCCACAGTAACCCAGTTGGGGCCTAGTATAGAAGAAAAATAACTATTCAGCCATTGGGCTGTTGGAGGTATTTTATACAGCTCCCAATCTGCTCCACTGCATAGCTCAGAACAATTTCATCTCTTAGACACTCAATGACACATCTACTCAAGACAAAAGTAAAAGTTTTCTGTCGTTTATTTGCTTTTTTTACCTGGACAGACAAAAATTTGGCTGTTTTGTGGATCTGTTTGGGAAGTAGCAATAGAGGGGTTTGTATCAGAGCACTTGTTGCAAGTTCTCAGATAGAGGCAAATAGAAAGTGCTCAAATAACTTGGACTGAAAAACAAGTCAAGACACGGCTGAGTCTCCTCCCTGCACCGCCGACAGATCTTCATTTGAATACTGTATGTTCCAATCTATTTGCATAGCCATTTCCAATGTCTCCTGTGTGCAGTTGGCAGTGGTCCATCTAAGCTTTTCATGAGTCCCTCACTGAAAACCTAGAAGTGTCAATTGTCTGTTCTTACACAACAAAAATGGGCGAGAAGGACTCCACATAGGAATTAAATTTTGCACTACTTAAAATCATACTTCCATTTTATGGTCTAAGTTGCTAACATCAAAGTTATATTTGCACACATCAAAATTTAATTAGGCAGACTGCATAATTTATACAGTAAATAAAGTATATGAGTAGAAGGAAAACCAGCCTAATCTACTTTTTATTATTAGATATATTTATAAACATGGGTCATATACAAAAATTTTGAAATCCAAATAATCCAGTATCCTCAATATCATAATGTACCTCAGAGCAGTACGTGGCTATGCTGAAGTATGTAAATCCTAAAGGTAGTATTAATTTCAGTAAACAGACAACTTTCAGTTTGCAATTATTTTCGTTCCTTTCATTACAGTATATTTTTTGTTTTCCCTTTATCATACTACAATTCCCTTTTTGTTGAATAAATCCATATAGTACCTGATATGGAGGCATATATCAAGATTTCTTCCATTTCAGAATATAGTTATGCATTTTTAAAATAATTTGTTACCTGTGCACCAAGATCTTTCATGTAGGGCTCAAGTTCACTAAACAGATCATAGCCTTGATGGAAAAAAGCCAGATGTGCATACATAAATGATAACATCTAGAAGGAACAAAGTAAATATTTATTCTCTTAAAATTTATATCACATATATATGTCACTTAATTCACATAACCTACAACTTAAGGTTTAATTTGTCCTCTCATGTTCTGACAGTTTTACATCAATACCTCATAGAGCTTCCAATGTTGTAAAATAAATGTGGAAAGTAAAGGAAGAAAAGAACCAAGCCAAAAATCTCAGAAATCAGTTGATAGCATTAACCCCATGAGCAAAACAAAAGAAATCTACTTAATGGGAGGAAACTACTGCTAATTCATGTCACCTGAAATTTTTGCTGTCTCCTGTGTAACTGTTACATGTAAGGTAGAGAGGGGCTATAGAATATTTTACTAATGATCCAAACCCATAACCTTTATGAACATATGTGAGAAGACTGTCTGGCCTTAAAACAGAAAACAAGTTGGGAAGGTGCAGAGCAAAATAGCAGGCAGTTATAAACCAACCCAAGTAAAGTTTCTGCTTTTTAAGGAATTAAGAAAACTATGGGAGAGCAACTTCAGACATTTGAAAGAATAGCACTGTTTAATGTGTCACTCTATATCTCAATAAACTTTTAGCAGAGATAATGGGAAGTAGAAAAGTACAATATGAAGAAAATTGGCATGCAGGTATAAATAACTTCGCAGATACCATATTATTCATATTAAAATTTGCTCTGTTCTTAGAGCAGAATTCATCTTAGAATAGATTATAAGCAGCATTTACAGTTAACAAAGTAATAAACCAGGCCTAAACAGCAGAATTCTAGGCAAACAAAGCTTGATTTTAACTATGGAACACATACCAAAGGATCAAAGCAGTGAAAACCTGTAAGTGTTCAAATCTGAAGGACTGTCAAAACAGTTAAACATGTATGCCCAGCCACAGTAAAGGCCAAACTGACAGTCACCAAACTGACAAATATACTGATAACGTTTTGAGTAATTAAAGGACTAAATTTTTAACATACTGCTTTGTGGCCATATTTTTAATTTCAGATGGATTAAAATATTTGATAAACAGAGAATAAAGTATATCTTACCGATTTTAAGATTTCTGCTCTCCTTTTAGACTGAAGAACATTGATCTAGGAAAAACAGAACAAACAAGCAATTTATTTTATTCTAAATTTCTTATTTTATTTGCAATTTTCCCCCAAGTAATCACATTCAAGCTCAAAACATTGCAAGAAGACAGTTCAATATCAGACTTCCGGAAGTACTTTTAAAAGAAGATGCACTCTAGTTCTGACATGATATCAAAGTGATGCAATCAGAGAACACTTCCAAAACTTGAGCTTCACAGTGATAGTCACAATTTTCTTACATCAGTAGGGAAAATACAAGACACCATGTGCTAGCTAGAAGTAATATAAATACACCTTTCAAGCAAGGAAAATTGGTTCTCATTTTCAAGAGATTGAATTCAAGATGTTTCAAGCACTGTGAGCTAAGCCAGCCCACCAACTCCTCGCAGAAGTTGTACTCGGCACTGCTGCCAAGGCAGATCAAAGGATGGGGGCAGGGTTACTTTCTCCCTTCTTTTCTTACAGACTCACAGTATTTAGGTATCCCAAAAGTAGTCCCAGGCAAGCAAGAACATAATAGTTTCAATAAGTAATTTCTGTGTATACCTGCACTTTTAAACTAGCTGAAGTCACTGATTAATGGTGTTGCCCTAGAACTTGAGGAATTTCACATTATATAGAAAAAATAACCAATTTTTCACATTCACCTAGTTATCATACCTTCTTTGGTCTCTAAACTTTAAAGGTTGCCATGCAGAACTACAGATTTGACTTTAAAAGACCCACTTAGCAGAAACAGGCATGATTTTGTAATTTAACACCTCTATGTCAGTTTAGAATTTCAGCAAAATAAATAAACTTGCTGAAGCTATAATCAAAACCAGATTCTACTGCTATACTTAAGTAGTCATTCTCTTGGAAAACTTTCTGCAGCAAAAATAATTAAGATTTGTTTGCACAAAATAAACCCTCAGCCTGTGAGGCAAAGAAAAATAAAAATAGAAGGAAAGCAAAGGTTTTGAATTACAGTTTAAAGCCAGTCTAGCTACAAGGAGACCACAGTTGTGAAGCCATTTTCCCAGAAGAATCACGCAAGTAGAAAGAATTCCTAAAGCTGAATTGATTTTTGTCCACGTTGATAGGTGCTGAAACTGTTCCCAGTTACTCTAAGCATAGCTTTATCCCAGGAACTGCTCATACTTTGAACATACAAATTCCAGGAGGCAAACAACCAGCAGTTCAGTGCACACACAGGGAACTGGCCTGCTGCAGTAGTGACTGCCAGCTTCCCCCACACCATTTAGTGCTAGTACAAATAATCCTGTGGGACATAATTCATACGACTTTTTAAACACCAAAATTACCTTAGTGTTTAAAAACAGGAGCTCAGAGTTGACCAGTGACCATCACGTCTGTGAACATGCCCAGGCTAACAGGCTTCATTTTACAACTCATAATGCAATTTATAGAAAAGTTAATTAAGCTTTAAATAACTGACTGATGATAATGTCTAATATAGATGATAATGTCTAATATAATAAAACCAGCTTAATTGTAAAGAGCTGTTCTGTGTTTGATCACAGGAGAAGCTCAGACCCATTTGGGAGCCCCAGCCTATCATACCATCCAAGTTGCATTAATCCTGTTTTGCTGCAGTTGTGGGTAAGAATGAAGCAGATAAATTTTAAGTATCAAAAAAAAAAAAAATTTATTACAAAGCAGCATGCCAAAGAATACCTCTCAACACCCTATGGGAGATCTTCATTAAAAAAGTAAAGGATAGTTAAGTTCTTGACTTGCCTTACAGCACAATGCCCAACTCTGAGGCATCTAGACAAGCTAAATAGAACCCAAAGCATACAGCTAAAATTGCAGAAGTACCCAAGATCCTGTATCAGAATTATTCAGGTAATTTACATTTCCTAGGCTAGGTTACAGTTTTTATTTCAAATATATAAGAAACTACAGTATATCTAACTCATGAAGCACTTAGGTAAATATCACGCAAATACTGGGTTTTTTTCAAAATTAATGTTCAACTTGAAAATTAAACTGTGTCATTGCAGCAAGGACACTGAATAACAGAGCATTAAAGCAGTAATAATGCATCAGTTAATTTTCTTCAGATTTTATTTGAAAAAGAAATTACTTAAAGTAATTTATAAATGAAAGTTCTTCCTTTTTCCCCAAATCTCCACATCTTCCAAGAAGCTTACAAAAAGAACTTCTAACATTGTAAAGAACATGTCTCTAAAAATATGTAACAAATGGTTTTGAAAAGTAACTTTTATTGCTGTCCTTACCTGAAGAACATAATCCAGAGCTATGTGTCGAAAACACTTCCGTGTTGCAGTCAAAATGTTGGTTGCTTCCTCTACCTCGTGTTGCTTATTTCTTTGAACTTGGGCATTTTTCACCAGAGCATTCTCCTTTTCTTCACTGACTTTTTCAAACTGTTTCTTTGCATCTTTAAATTTCCTAATATCTCTATGGAAAAAGGAAATATGGATAACAAATTAATTCCAAAGCATGAAAAAGATTTTAAAGCTACACCAGACAGACCAAGCTTGTGACTGCTATAGCTGATGTCTTTTTCAAATTCTATATTCTTCAGTACATCCTTGGGTCAAATGGAAATCCACAAATTATGACAGAAGCTTACTGTGTTTCTTTTCTGAAGAAAGGACAAAAAGTGAAATGTAACTGAACACATCTGATGCCTACTGGGGAAAATCTTTGTCCCCCAAGCTTAGCCAATTACAATATGTAATTAGATCAGTAATTCATCCTATTGCAACGTTTCTGCAGCTGGATTTAAAGCATCAGTGATTTGGTGTGATTTTTGACAAAGCCTTAATACACACTTCTCAATTTATGGGTGGCTATTTACAGGAAGGATGTTTCACTTATCCACTCAAATCAGATTTTTAAAATTACATTTTATGTATAATTTTCCCATTACAAGTGCAAATTAACTTACTCTTTAACGAAAGTCTGAAGCTGTGTTTTAATTGATCTTTGGATTTGGTCAAACAGAATCTGAAAGAAAGCATTATTACATAGGTCAGTAATTCAGAGGTATTCATACCTTCTGATTTCAGAAATACAAATGGCAATTATGCAGAATTAGATGAGAATTATTATTAAACCACTGTGTCTCTAAAGCAAAATACAAATCCCTTCACAGTAGTTTTGAAATAAATAAAAGATAAGGAAGAAAGTAAGGAAAATAACACAAATCAAACATCTTTTGCTGCTCTTTTTTTAAAGACAATGGTTATAAGGAGAGAGAAGAGCACCTGTCATCGTATTCTCTCATCCTGAGAAGACATGCCTAGTTTCATAGAAGTTTATGTTAATTGTACAGTAATATTCCTGAAGAAACAACTTTGACAATTTATTAACAATTAAAAGACAAATGAAACCATAGAAAGAACTGCTCTTAACTTCTGGCAAAAACCCCAAAACCATGGATTGAAACTAATGCTGAAAATGTAACACACATGAGTTTTTAGTACCATCTCTACGTGAAATGTTTGTGAAAAATCACCACTGTTGGACTACTAAAAGGAATGGCTGATTCTTTTTAAGAATAAGTGATCTAAGCAATGCTTCCAAAATTTCTTATGATTTGGTAGGGCTGGTGGGCGCTAAAAATACAATCTACTCATTTTAATTGTAAAGTGTAAGATATTTGTTAAGGTTTTAAGGCCAAAGCACACCTGGATGTGAGACAACTTTTATGTTTTCTTATGACCCAAAAAATTCTAACTGGAAAAATAAAACACACATTCCTTCAACTTCACATCCACCCTCTGAGTTTTAGCATGGAACAGAACAGGTCAGTGGCTACTGGGAAAATCCTTTTGTCACTTCTTATTGTGCTGACAAGAAATGTTGCCTTAATTTCCAACCCCTCTACACCTTCCATTCTATGAAACAGAAATACACAAGGCAGCATCACAAAAATAAAGTTGACCCAGTTGAACAGAATCTCTCATTAAAAAGATCTTGAAATATTAAATTATTTTCTTGAAAAAGCAAGTCAAAACCTCAGTTTAAGGTCAAAAAATGTTTTCTTTAAAATATTCTCAGTCTTAGATTCTTTATTATGATTTGGAAATGAGAAGCTATGTAATGCCAAGTACTGACAGGAAAACCTTTACCAGCTCATCTTGCTTTTCTAGAAACACTGAAGGGACACATGACTGAGTTTAAGCCACTCATTAGCAGTGGTGCTGTACCTTGCATCCAGTCTCCATGCTTGGAGGTTTTCAAGACCAAAGCAACCTGATCCAACCTCAATATCTGACCCTGATTTAGGAAGGCAATCAAACTATCCACACCTCCTGAGGCCCCTTCCAACAGAATTGTATCTACCAGTAATGCATGGAAGAACTTGTTTGTATTCCCACTTTGGGAAACCAGAAAAGCAGACAACTAGAATAAAGAACTTCTTGAAAAACTAGAAGTCACACTGGAACTACTCCCACTGCTGACATTTAAGCTTGCCAGTGCCTGGGCAGTGTACCAATCAAGATCGATACCAAAAGATAAAACCAGATGAGAACTCAAATGATTAGAGGACCCCCAGAAATATGAGCCTTGCATTCTTCTTACAGTAATGGAGAAAAAATGTGCTGGGCAGAAATATACACAGACATAATTTCCCCTAAAAGAACAGAAAGAAGTGCCCAGACCATGATCTGATTAGATTTACAGCCTTGTCAACATAACTACCTTTCATATACTCCAAGTCTAAGAAAGCTGGTATTTGCCATAAGCTGTGACAGCTACTCCCCCACTGCTGACTCACTGAAGATGCTGCATTAGTCTGGTCCCTGGCCTTATTTGTAGCAAAGCCTCACTTGAAAAAAACTGACAGTCATCCAGAACTCAGTGGGAGCATCTCCTACCCCTTCCATCCTTTCTTTCCTCTTTCTCTAGCTTCTCCCTCTTGATGGCTCTGTCACCTTGGTCAGCAACAGACCTGTCACTCTGAGCCAGGAAGCCCTGTTGAACTAAGCATATTTACAAAAAGCCATGCAGGACCACAACATGTCTGGCAAAGCAATTGTGCCTCACTCCTGATGTCTGTGCCTTTGGGAAAAGCCACTTTATTCTCACTATGCCTGAGCACGGCAAGGGCATGGTGGGGGAAAAAAAGCAGAACAGAACTCAGATAGGTCCTACTTAGATCTGAAAAGAAATCTTTAATATGGACTGTTGTTCGCTTTCTGCCTTCAAACTGACTAAAAGGGAGAGTTGTGCTATGCCAAATTTTACCAAAGAAGTGCAAGCTGGACCATACAGAATAACAGCAGCAATAATACAGCACCTATGTCAGAGGTGTCCAAAAGAGCAAACCATAGATAAAAGACATGGTTAAGAGGGTAACCAGCAGCAACATGTGTAATGAAGAGGGACAGCCTGGGTTTATCTGCTCCATCTAATCTGCAGAAATCATTGACATGAAACTAATACCTGCTCCAGTACTGCTGCTTTCAACCTTTGCACTCCCTTTTCTCTACAACCCAAGAACCACTGTTCACTTACCCCCTTTACAGTTTTCATTAGAGTAGGTGCAGATACATACACTTTGTATAATGAAAAGAAAATCAAACACAATGCTATTAACCTGCTTTGCTTCCCTCCCTTCCACTCTAAAAGCATGCATTTTGAAACAAAAAGCCTAATCAGACATTTTTAGAAAGCTAAGTTAAAGCTAACAAACTTCCAATGCATTCTCTATAACTTGTCAATTTTAAAATCACAGTGGTATGAAAAACCCACATTTTAAGTGCCCTGCGTATTTTCAGCACTTTGGAGACACTCCAGTTTGCTTCCAGCAATTTGCTGGGAAATTAATGAAGAGCAGTTGGGCCAGTGAAAGAGGAAGAAAACAGAAGAAAAAAACATCCTTTTGCCTTTCAGAATGCAAGACCAAATGCTTTAGAGGAAAAGCCAACAAATTAGTTTTCAACCCAGGGAAAACTGAAGTTTCTGGTTAGTCTTAAATTCTAGCATTTTCTCCTTTCTCCACACTTGTCTAAATTTGCTATCCTTCCAAAAAGAAAACTATATGCAAATCAGAGGTTCATTTTGTGTATTATAAAGGACAATCATTATTTCAGACCAACAAAGGTCTAAGTCTATAACTGTTACCATCAGTTTGATTCAAAAAGATGAAACTATTCAGTATTTACTGTCTTAGAGCACCTAATATTACAAATTCGAAATAAAAAAATAAACCAAGATGGAAATCTGTAGAAAAGGGGATATTTATAAATACTTTGTAAACAAAATATTAATAAAATATCTACAAGTATAAAACAAGAGTTATTTACCACCATTTAAACCATTACTTTGCAAACACTATCAACAAGAAAGGCTTTACCATTAATCAATTATCAAATATAACTGGAGGTGAGCTATCAGTGCCATGCTGCAGCTAGAAATACTCACATTATGATAATTGATCATTTCCTGTAAGGTGTCAGAGAACTTCATCAAACTGGTCTGTAAAGATAAAATATAAGTGGTTTAAGTTAAGCCTACTAAACACACAGCACAAAACAACAATTCAGAGGTTTATAGCTTTTTAGTAAAGAACTTGGAAATCATTTTCCTTACAGCTCAATTATGAGACTATAACCGTTAGGCTAGAAGGAGAACACAGCTGTAATATCAAACAAATCATTAAAGATACAAGCAACAAAAATGTTATTTCTACCTACCTTTATATAAAGTACCAAACTGAGGGAAAGCAGGAAAAATTCAAATTGACTAAAGATATGGGAAGCTCACATAATCTAAAACATTAATTTACACTATTTAATATCACGCTAATGAATATTTTTCATGTTTAATACTCTTACAAAAAGCGGTTAACATGTTGCAATCACCAATGTGTACACTAATCTAACACATTTTCTGAAATCTGTCAGACCTGTGTTACTGTTGAAACTAAACAGCACAGACACCTGCAGGGCACCACATTCAGAAAAACCCTCACTCTAAGAAAGATATCAAAGAAAAAGGAGCAAAAAGGCAAATACTATAAACTTCAACTACTTCTCTTGCCAACTGTTATGTCGTACCATTTTAAAGATATGTTTCTCTCCCTCCATTTTCACCTCAAAGAACTTACCTCAACCAATGTATCTTTACAGGAATATTGTGCAAGGTCTCGAATTCCATTCATGAACTGCTTGTTGGCTGTACAAAATGCTTTCCCAGTATCAATCATTGCAATACAAAGCTTCACCAGCTAAAATGAGTATAAAAAGAGAGAGAAAGAGGAAAGCTTATTTTTGCTTGGTTTTTATACCATCATATAAATATGAACACACTGAGCTTACTGAGCTTAGTTAAGGCTATGAAATAAAATTTTCAAAAGTTAAATTCTCACCCTCAAATTCTATTAGAAGCTTTCTACTGTATAGTGACAGCTATAAGAATACTACTCTAGGTCAACAGATATGCTACTGGGAAAGTTACCACTCTATATATTTTTTTTAATTATTTTTTACTTGATTTATTGTTAACTGAGATGTTACACATATTTCAAGAGAGTTTTACAGGGGCAAAGAGTAGATCAACTAAAAACTGGTTAGAACCCAATCAAATGAGGACATTATAGTGGTTTCTGAGGAAAAACACCACAAACAAAAACAACACCGGTTGTTTCATCCTGAGACACTCAGAGTACAGGCACAGGAAAGCAAAAGGCTCTGTTGCACAAAGCACAGCTGAAGAGTCATGGTTACATCTCAGGAGGTGAAATCAATTATGTTTTCACTCACAAACAGATTAATCTCTGACCGCTTTCCATCCCTACCACTCACTGCTTCAGTCAGCACCTCAGCCCTCATGGTACTGCAGTCTGATAGGAAGGTCCTCAGTATTTTGTGATGGATGTTTTCCCGCTTCTTGAACCATTTATGCTCTAAGCCATTAATGTAGGAAAGAGTGGTTACTGCAATTGCCAAGATGCTCTTTTGAGAAGGGGCACATTATGATTGACTTCCCTGACCCTAAGTCAAGCTGAGACTAGAACCAGAAAATTGAACCTTCATCTCTGAAGGATTTTTCAAGGATGATAAATAAATTTTCATGAAAAGCAACACAGAAGTACTTGATCCTATGTTGGGGCAAAGAAACCATCCAAGCATCCTTCCTGTCGTAGTTATCCAGTAATTTTTATGTTGACTCAGCTCCTTGCCATTGTGGTAAAACAGGCTCTTGGTGCAGCACTGACCAAGCCCCGGCTTTTATCTCATGTGAAAGCTGAACAAGTTTGCAGCAGCTGCCCCATGGGCTGAGTCACAGGAGCGCAGTGAGGGGCCAGGCCAGGAGGGAATTGCACAAGCTCAGCCTCAGCTGGGGCAAGGAGTGAGCTCATGCCGCGAGTTCAGCTGCTCAGCACTGCTCTGATCCAGCTCAGCCTCCAAGGCACAGCCATGAGCTTGACCTGGATCCTTTCCTCTACAGAGCAGGGGGCTTGGTTGGCCACTGACACTTCCCAGCTGTCAACCTTAAAACTGAAACACACGTTTTAAGACCAAACATTGTTGAATTAAAAGCTTACCTTGTCAAGTTTCAGTTCCAGCTCTGTCACATCTCCTTCTACCTCTTCTAAAGCTGCCCTGCATGCATAAAAGAGGTTTTTCTTTAAAATTTTACACAAAAATACTCTGAGTCTGGGGAGAAGGGGCAAACACACACTCATTTAACTCATTTACTGCCATCACAGTTTTACTTGAATTTCAGCTATAAAAAAGCATAGATTTCAAAGAACTACAAAAATTGCAGGAGATTGGATGGTAAAAAGAAAAAAAACTATATCACTGCTAAAACACGGTCTATTGATAAAAGATTTCAGATCAAATTTTATCAATCCTAATACCCGTCACATCAAAATAGGTTTCTTCTGTTCTTGTATAGACAATAGTCTATATGTTTGAAGCTAACAACAAAGGAAAGAACTGAAACTCAGTGGGAATTTTCTTAATTCTTTTGGTGACCTTCTGGCTCAAACCTGCAAATGGTGCAGCTATTTCATGAATAACCTTGCAATGAGATTAGGAAAAAATACAGCACTTGCCATGTGTCAATTAACCTGCAGGGTGTTCAGATGGCACACTTCATTAGATCATTTACCTCTAATCTAGACTGGTCAAATCTTCCAAGCCAGTCAAATTTAACTTGCCAGTAAAAGCTGCTTTCATGGACCATTGCTAAAACACAGCTTGTGGGTTCTTTTTGCTTGAAAGCTCATGTCTCTTTGGACACCTCCTTCCTTATCGCTACCTGAAAAAACAGAAGACTGAGGATGGATGACACTTTGCTCAGAGTCCATGAACACTGCTGCTTAGTCAGGCTATTGCCTTGAGAGCTGAATGGACTCATTTCTGGCAAGGAGTGCCCTTGCTGCCATCACAGGGTGCCCACTCTTTCAGTCATTCCAGCAAAACCATTCATGGAGCTACCCTGTTTACCAGTAGTAAGATGCCTTGGGGAAAAAAAAAAGTATTAGGAAGTTTTCTTCCATGCTCTTTGAAAAATTGGATCAGACATTTCACATTTCAGTCCCATGAAAAAACCCAGCTCTTCCTGGAAAAAGTTATACAGGCAGGGAAGAATGATTTGGAGCAGCAATTTCTTAAGCCAACTTTATACCACTGAGGAGAGACACAACCACAGCTTTACTGTCTCTTGCTAATTCCATTCTAGTTCACATGAGTAGAAGCCAAGAACATAAAAAAAAAAAAAAAAAAAAGACTGGATGAGAGCCCCAAGTTCAGGAAAAGCAGTTTTTTTCCAAGAACAGTTCTGAAAAATGCTGCCAATTGCTTGCAGATCTCAAACACTGAGCATGACACCCCCAGCTTTTGAAGACTTCACTACATATAGTCGTATTCCAGTTCTTGTACCTCAATGCATTCCCACTGTTGTGTCCTAAGTTTTATATCCAAGCAATCCCTGCAGCTACATTTTGGCTTCTCCCTCTTCGCTAGCTTCAGACCATGAAGGATTTCAGGCAACATCAATTTCTCCCTTTTACTTTCTTTATTTTCTTCCATAACTGATTCATTTCCATTTAAGTCTCTAGTTAATCTTGTTTCGGAAAGCATTAAAGAGAATTTTTAAAAAAAAAACAAAACCCAAAGGAAGGAAAAGCATCTCAATATTTAGACTGCAATTTTGTATTCATTTGTTTATAATCACAGGGCAACACATTTTTATTTGTTTCTCTGGCATTAACATAAAAGCACAATTAAGTAGCTTGTTTACAAAACTGCAGCAAGATCTGATAAGAGTATTATTTTTTTAGTGTCTTTAACTAACAAAGAGTTCTAACTCCACAGGACTTAATGAGCTAGAAGTCTAAGATTCAAAATGAAGAGCTGAGATTAAGGCAGTTAGAGCAGGCAAAATGAAGACAACACATCTGTTCAGTAATTAAACCTCCATTCCAAAAAGCAAATTTTAAGGCAGAATAAGCTCAACTGGAAGAAGTAACAGCAGAACATCAGAAAACTGAAACAATGAAGGGTAGGTCAAGCAAAAAGAAGTATAAAGCAAAGGAAATAGAAGTATCATAGGGGAAAGGAGAGATACACCCCACTACCACCCAACTCATTGCTGATCTTTGAAATGCCACAGGCTCCTGAGGCACCAGGCTGCTTCTCTGGGCTATTTCCCACCACTGCCATGTGATGAAGGGACGGCACATCTGGGCCCTACAGCTGAATATCGATCAAACAGCTGCTGAGTTCCAGCTAAACCCCACTTTAATTCTATGTTTCTTTGCATAGGAATGACTACTTTCACTGTTTCCATCACATAAAAACTATGAGAAAGTATTATCATGCAAACATATTTACAGGTATTCATCCAACACTGGATTACAAGCCGAAAAACAGAATATAGATATATACATCCAATTACGTACCACCTAGTCACAAAAATTGTCTTTATGTTTTCATCCTGGGCTAGCAATACATGAAAAACAGCTGATCTAAGCCGTGCTATGTTAATGCTACCCTTATTTTTCTTAATAAGCCATAGATATATATGTGAAGCCACAGAATATAAAGATGCATTTCTCTCTGAAACATCTGTATCAGGCATAAAGTCACAAAAAACTGTCATAATTCTGAGTAAATGTCATGTCCACAGCCAAGACCCGCTGTCCAGCTATAAACACAGGAAGTGGTGGTGAAACAGCTGAGGACAAAGTGCCAGGCCTGACATGTAACAAAACTGTTGCTCTTTACTGAAGTGGGAGCTGAGAGCAAGGTTTGCGTCACAGAGATCTCAGCCAGAAGGCTCCAGCATTAGGAATACGGATCAGATCAGGTCCAGTGCATGAGTCAAACATCTGTGGCTTCCCCAGATGTTCAAATACTGCATGGCAATGCACAAAACCAGAACAGCTGCTTAAGGGTGGAGGACAACTTTCATAAATGAGCCATCTCCCATACTCTTCATGCCCTGTAGTAAGGACTCTCAGGAATGTGTTTCTTTCCTTCGTCATGACTTCTCTCCTCTACCACCCCCCTGTAACACAGTTCAGTTTGCTAGATACAGCTTCCTGCACAGCTGCAGTGAAGAAGGAATACCGGAGACGATGGAAGAAAACTCAAGACCTGACACTGCAGCCTTTTAAAACAAGGATAATGTCACCAGTTACCCAGCCCAGCATACACAAAGGACAGTTGAATTCTGACGTCCATCACGGCACCCCCTTTGACCAGTGAAAGACTTTCTTCCAGGTTAAGGTATTTTGAGAGTCCCAGGAATCAGAATGATGATGGATAAACTCTCCTCTAAAAAAAGAATGTGTCACTCAGACCAGAAGCTGCAGACACCAGCTAAGGAAACAATTTATCCTGGAGTAATCCACTACACACTGCTGACCAGAACACCACACACGCTGTGGCCATGGACAGGGGTCTGCAGGGCCTGTTTGCTCTCACTGAAGAGTGGTGATCACCAGTGCTTTTAAAGTCAGCTCCTCTTCAAACGAAATCTAATTGCCATTGAAGCCACACCCTGCCTTTAGTCATTTGCTCATTCATTCATCATATTCTAGCTTGTGTTTTCAGATTGTGCTCCTGAAAATGAGAAGGCTGGAATCAGTAGTCACTCCAAATCAGATGCTGGAAAACAACAAACTAGACAGGTCAGAAATGCTATGGGCAACTAACTAATAATTATTAATTCTAGAAATAATACCTCACTATAAAAAACATTCAGAATTATAAAAGCCCAATAATAAAGTATTTTCCAATAGTGTGTGTTTATTTTTTTTTTCTTTTAATTGAGAAAAGTTTCAATTCATTTCTTAAACATACTTTCAAAGAGCATGAACAAGTCAATAAAAAAATCAATGGCTATTCATTCTGGGGCTTTTGAATACATTCATATATTTGGACTCATGAAATGGAAATAATGGATTTTACCACTGCAGTTTCAATGACATTACTGCTAAAGTCTTGTCCTCAAATCTTAGAAAGACACAGCTCTTACTTGCACATATTCTATGCAGGACAGCTCCTTAATGCACAGCTTAGATTCACCAGAGATGACATGCTTTCAGCCAACATCCACTACACCTTAAAGACAGCTTGAAAAAAAAACAAGTACTACTGAGTGTGAAAACCTGAAAATGAGATACATAAGTGCAAGATAAGAATATGAACCTGATAACTTACAGGAATGTCTCCTCTATGCCAGAGCCTATCAGGTGGCAGACAGCAAAGGCCAGCAGACATTAATCAGAGGATAGATTATGACCTGTAGTCTGATGCAAAGGCAAATTAAAATGCAGGTGTACCACAGAAGATATTGTACTTGCTCACCTGTTTGGTCTGGTTTGTGTCTTCCTCTGCCTCCACCTCCCTTTCCTCCCACAGCAGTTGCACCTTGGGATCATCTTTCAGATGCAAAGTAACTACTCACAGAGCTCAGGAAGAGGACAGACAGACTGCTGAGGGCAGCCTCAGGCCAGGGGAACCCACACACCACTGTGACTAATGCCACTGGACACTGCCACTTTTCACTGCTCAGTAAGGGCCATTTGCTGGTCACCAGGTTGCAAAGGTCCCTGTCCACCAGCACAGCTGCACAAAGTTGTTACTCCTCAGAGGAAGTCTTCACATTTGTCTGGGTTAAACCTCAGGAACTTTCTACCTGTGCTTTCCCCTACCTTGCTGAGGTCCTGCTGGATGGCAGACCTACACCCTCCAGCTTCTCAGGGTTCCCTCCAGTCACTGAGTACTTTATTTGATTTCCTTCATAAATACTGAGATATGCAAAGGTGTCCAGAGGCAAGCTAACCAGCATGCCAAGAAGGAATACAGCTGGTACATGTGTTACAGCACCAGACGACCAGAGACTAAAAAAGAAACAAGACATATTGAGGGACAAAGAAGGCATACATGGAACAATAAGGCCTAATAACTTTGGATAACAGCATGGATAGATATAAGAAGAGCTTTACAACTTATGAGATGTGTCATAGCCATTAATATGGTCTGAAGAAAGAACACTGTTGCAGCCTGTCATAGAGCCCATTGAAATCCTGGGTTTGGCACTTCAGAGTTTTTTCCCCTGCTGGCACAGAGCCCCTCCATACTGAGGAACAGATGATGAACTCTCCCTGACATGCTAAGATAAAATTCCTCATTCATGCTGGTACTCCTTACATTATTAATTCTTCAGTCATTGCCACACATTTTATCAACAGCTTAGAAAAACTTCTATGTGCCCTACATGAACAGTAGGGCTTTTAATCACAAAGCTGAACCCTCACCCTGAAATCCTAGAAATTTTCTATGAGCTTGGGGATTGAAATACAGAAATACATTTCCTGAACTGAAAAACATTATGTCGATGAATAAGCCAAGTTTTCAGGTACATAGCAAGAACTATCTGCATTTCAAATTTCCCTGGAGAAACAGGAATCAAGTCCTCAATATTAAAAGGACCATTCCTCCACTCCTCTCAAGTCAGATTTCTCTTAGAAAATAATCAAATTAAATAAAGCTAGGATATTTACTGAATTCGTAAAATTATTAAAGCAATGGTATGCTTGTAAGTATCACTTAAAGTTGTCTGCACCTACAAGGTTTAGTTTCTTGTCAATAATTCATATGGTCTGATACAACAAATAGGACAAATCCTTTTAAGATGTACACTTCACTTAATTTGTTCTTTACTGTTAGAATACACACAGCTCAAAGATAATGAACATTACAAACAAATCAGTCTTCAAAAA